TCAGACGTATGTATGTTTGTAACGGAATCTTTGAACATGATTTTGAACCCCTGCAAAACGTCGGATTAATTTTAAATTATTTTTATAAGACGTGACAGATGAACATCCAATTTGATAGCATGCCATTTACCTTGTTTATATGTAAGTACTTCATAAGGGATAAAAAGGTTGGCGCTATTGCACTCACTTCCATTACCTACGGACAAACGAGCTTAAAAAAATAAACACAATAAAAGCAACTATTTTGAATCTGCTATTTTAGAAAACATAGTTAACTAAATGAAACGAATCCAATTAAATGAAATTTTATTTCTTCGACGTACTTCATAACTCAGAAATATGATTACCCGGTTCACCTATGTGTAATCACTACATAGTATAAAACAAAGTCGCTTTCTCTGTCCCTATATCCCTGTATATGCTTAAATCTTTAAATATACGCAACGGATTTTGATGCGGTTTTTTTTAATAGATAGAGTGATTAAAGAGGAAGGTTTATATGTATAATAACATCCATTAAATAGTGGAGAAATCAATAATAAATTACAGTTTCCGAAGCGAAGCGAGAGCGGGTCGCTAGTAGGTACGTAATATATCGATATTGTATATTCACGTATTTATTAGTATTACGGGAAGATACTAGTTAAAACGTTTATATCAGGAATAAACATGTGCAAATCATTCCGACGAGTCCGATGAAAGACGGGCCAGATCCTATTCTATTTTAGATGGCAAACATTTTACGGCGTCTTTTAAATTATTTTCATCGTTTTCCTTCATGTAGATTATATTGTTTGATCTACATTAAGTTTTGCAATTAATTATTTCTGGACTTAACGTGAAATCCGTGGCTTAGCATCAAGCCGTTACCATTGATATTTATTGATGCTCCATTCTTATTCAGGATTTTACGATAATTTTAGTTTAAAATTATATTTACTTATCTCACTCTAAAATAAAAAATTAAATTTTTAAGTAACTTTATAAGAATTGAGTACGATACAGATACGTTCATAAATATCAAGATTATTTGTTCAAAGTAATTTAAATGAGAATTACTAGAGTCGTTTTTTGTTCAAAATTTACAAACTATAAAAGGATATTGAAATTTTGGAGAATACCATGTTTTTTTAAACAGTTATATCTCTCTACTCTTTAAATTATTATAAATAAAACTAATTTGGAAATCTGCACCATAACGTGTACTCATTTTTTGTCATTCTTCTTCATTTCACTCATCAAATCGCAATCAGGCGCAAATCAAATTTTTTGAAACGTAATTTCGACTTACCTCTGTTTATCTCAAGCTGCTTAGAATTACGATTATCGTGGTGTAGTCTCAGAGTGAAATAGCTATAAGGACAATTCCTGGCCTTTTGGATACGGAATTTAAAGATTTGTTTATGTTTGGTTCCAATTCGTCAGCTCAAGAAAGTTTCGAGTTTTTAAAACAAGTATGATTGCAATAAATTGTAATAAATAAAATGAATGTTTAAAATATTTAATGATAAACTTGATTGATAGATATTTAAATGTATTTATATATCATTCAATATGTTATAATGCAATAAATTCTTAATATTCACGAGCTAATCCTATAAAAAAATATTCTTAAGTAAATTAATTTTCAATCCTTACTTATCTATAAATAATAAAAATTTATTACGATAGTTTGAAATCTCTCGTCTTCAATCACAAGCTCAGGTCTTACGAATCGCAAAGGCATGAAGGTCATGAAGAATAGTTATTATCTAAATCAATCTGAATCTTGTGTTTACGTCTTAAAATTTTATGTTTTTCATTTAAAAATGAGAGTTGTATTTGCTAGTTGGATGTTTTTAATAAAAAGTCTACATTAAAATCCTATGGACTAGCACCTTGATAAAATATTCAGATTCAATTCATAAATTAACTAAAACCATCTTATTAATTGATAGTGTAGATTGGTTGGCTTTAGATAGATTCGGTAGATTTCTAGCTAGATATAGACTAGTAAATTGAAGGGTCCATTCTCGGTACAAAAAAAAATTGCCATTTTAAAAATCTCTCCTTACCAAATTTTTTTTTTTTGTCATAATCATCGTAGGTCGTATATAACCCTTAAAACTTCATTTCATAAAACGAATACCTTTAAGGAAGGAAATTTGTAACGTTGAAAATCACTACAGTATTTTTAATATTGAAAGACCGTACCTATTTTATTAGAAAAATCCTTCTCACTATCGATCAGCGTCATACGACCAAAATTAAAATCTCTGCCAAGCTCAGCATCAAAACACTTCAATGACGTTTAACTGTCAACCTAGATCACACAATGAAATCTACATGCACTATTTTAAAACACAATTAAATCGTCCTTAAACTTCTTGGTTTTATTTAACTGGGTGGGGATTGATCACATTTTTTTCAAAGTGATTTGCTTGTTTTCGTTATTTTAAAATTACTTGTTTTAAACTTTCGTCGCTATCCATAAAAAACATTTAAATCGTGATTACAACTCGTCCAGCATAATATGTATTTGTAATTTATTACTAGGTATATTAAATATGTACATTTATTGTAGTGTAATTATAGTTTGTTGTAACATATTTGATAGACAGAGATTTACGAATTCTCTATTGCTAAAGAATTAATGCATAGCACAACTATCCCGCACTTTCAACCAAAATGCGTGAATACTTCGCGGTCGTATAGGCAGGTTGATGATCACTCATGAGGTCTTACGTAACACCTTTTCACCATAAATTCTTTAGTACTGTTAAGATAGGACTTATGTGGAGAGAAATACAAGAAAACAAGACCTGACTAACTTGAAAAGACTGTGGTCGCATAACTATTAACACTGCACGGACTATCATCTTGACCTTAATATTAATAATCTTCTATAATCGATTGTCTTCAATGAATTTAGAATACCCAATTGATTACATAATCTTAGAATGCAATGTTTAATACAAAATTGATACGACTTGATGAGTTATAATAATACAGGCAAAACAAAAAAAAGTTCCCTACAAAAAACTCAAGTTCATGTCCTCGATCTTATACATTCGCAGACAGTGGTTTCTTGTCACGGTCAAATCATGTTCGATCAAGTTCATAATCAAAACACACTTACTTTAAAACTTAAGGGACGTACATAAAAAGTGTCGAATAAATGTACCTGCCTTTTAAAATCACCTAAGATATAAAATTAACGTGATGGTAAAGTAAACAAAAGTTAAGAGACAGCTGGTACCGGGACTCGAGCTGGGNTACATTCGCAGACAGTGGTTTCTTGTCACGGTCAAATCATGTTCGATCAAGTTCATAATCAAAACACACTTACTTTAAAACTTAAGGGACGTACATAAAAAGTGTCGAATAAATGTACCTGCCTTTTAAAATCACCTAAGATATAAAATTAACGTGATGGTAAAGTAAACAAAAGTTAAGAGACAGCTGGTACCGGGACTCGAGCTGGGTAGCACCCGCTATAAAAAGATCATCATAGGACGGCGGACGGTGCGCGACATGCAACCCTGGAAAACGGCTCGACTGTGCCATCGGGTACTGTTGCCAAAATAATTAAAGCAATCTCCTAGTGTCCCGCCACCGCGCCCGCGCCGCTCTAAAATCGTCGCTCTTGGCCCGGGAGTCGATACTCGGGGCGCGGCGGGAAAACATCTCCCGCGCCACTCTTATTTCTTCTTTCCTTCCCGACGCTGTCGGAAAAATAGTTCAGTAAGTTCCTCATTGCCAATATAAAACAAATCGACCGTGAGTGTAATGCGAAGTGTTCATTCAGTGCCTTAACAGTTGCCTGAAGGAAGTTTGTGAATTTCATAAGTGTATAAGTGTTACATAACGCGAAGTAAATTTCGGATTTTTAAAAATACCGCAATTTGTAGGCGCCTTTGGCACCGAAATAGCTTTTCACTGCTTTTAGTCACGTGGTACACGTTCAACCTATAGCATGGCTCCACATTGATGCACAGTCGTAAATTAAATCAACAACTTTTTTGGAGAAAAGTTATAGTTCATAATAACAAAATTAGTTACTGTTTACATACATCTAAATTTCATATTTTTTACATTCACTGATCAAAAAAAACATATTTAAAAGGAAGGTGATGTGACATGTCACATTCTAAAAATACCCAAAAGGTGGCGCTAGTGATGATTACTTCTGCTACGTCACGTCAGTTTGTAAAAAATGACGGCTGCATTTGATACGTGTTCTTGTCGCTTATGATATATATTTACGAGAAAAAGTATTAGATTAGTACAAAAATTTGCTTTAATTTGAATAATCAATTACTTTTGACGTTATTAATTAAGTGAACGATTATTTGAAAACTGTCCTTCTCATGTATTTAAATAACTTCTTGGTGAGTGGTGTAGTAATCAGATTGTGCCTACGGAGTAGGAAGTCCCTTATTATTCTCAATGTGCACTTTTATTGCTAAATTAAAATTGAATTACTAAAGATAATTCAAGATAAAATAAAATATGGCACACCCAAAATTTTTAACGTTTCTAACAGCAGTGACCTATTAATCCAGCAGATTTATACCAAAGTAATACTTAATATCAGTGATTCCGTTTTTATAGTTTTGTGAACAATTTTATATTAAATTCTATTCACAGCTTAATTTTTATGCGTTAAATAGATTTAACTTACGTGTTATTATATATTTCAAAATATAACCTAACCTAAAATTGTTAACAACTTTTAATGATGACTCGTCATTTCTAACCTATGTTCTCTTCTTACCTTCTAGAACTGACGGCAACATAGTAATTCCACCATGGAGGACGCTCACACGAAATCCGTGGAAGAAGTCTTAAAATATTTTGGCACAGACCCAGACAAAGGCCTTAGTCCAGACCAAATAAAAAGGAACCAAGAAAAATATGGACCCAATGGTAAGTTTTATTCTAATTCACATGCAAATCTATATTTTNACCTATGTTCTCTTCTTACCTTCTAGAACTGACGGCAACATAGTAATTCCACCATGGAGGACGCTCACACGAAATCCGTGGAAGAAGTCTTAAAATATTTTGGCACAGACCCAGACAAAGGCCTTAGTCCAGACCAAATAAAAAGGAACCAAGAAAAATATGGACCCAATGGTAAGTTTTATTCTAATTCACATGCAAATCTATATTTTATTTATTTATTTCAGTTACAAACTTATCAGAACAGATATATAATGAAAGATTATATTGAAATTTTCTGTACATTTTAAAAATATTAAAGTATTTTTTTCTCAATAATAACCATCATTGTGAATTTTTTTTTGTGAAAAAGTTCATTGTGATTTTTCATTCATTCAATCATTGTGAATTATACCAATTAGTTAAGGTTAGAATTCTATTACACCAACTAAAATTGAAAAATTACAATCAAAAATGTAATCGTTGCAGCAAGCACCAACAATTCTTACTTTGTTTTTAACATTCAAAGCCGATTTACTGATAGCTCACTGCTAAGTGATTTCTGAAAATGGAGAACAGTAGCTACTTTATAAGCACGACTTACATTTTATGTCAGGGTTAGTAAAAAAAAATAAGCGTTTTTAGAGTTGCACCAACTAAAAACAAAATTTGTTATTAAAACTGCTAAAAATTTTCAGAACGCACTCCTAACTGCAGCCCTAGATCCTAGGCCTCACTATCCCAACCAGATTAGGTATTGAAAGTGAATCATGGATCTGTGCTCTTCCCTTCAAATTCCATTTACACTTTAATCATCTTTCAATTGTCGTGGAAAGTGGAATCAGTTAGAAATAATCTGATCAAAAGTTGGTATTGCTGTCCATTAACATTCTAAAATCAAAACATTATTAGAACTTTTTTGTTTATGAAAGGGAAAATCATTAAAGTAAGTTATAATCTTAGGAATACTGTAACAATTTGTTAGTGAACTTTAGAATCATTTAGAATCAATCATCAAATAAACAAACAAAGTTTATGTCTTGTTGATAATCAATAACTGGTTGGACAGGACAAAAACATCAGAATGGAATTATATTCAGTAAAATATTCAATAAAATATTCATAAATTACATTTTAAAGTTCAAATCTAATCAACTTCTCTGGTTTAGTATCACATGCAGATTTGATCGTTTATATTTCCAATGCAAGGAAAACAAACATTTAATATTAATGATAAGCTGCATTCCAATATCTTGATTTTATTTTAACTTAGGATTAAGCCAACATTAAAAAAGAATTAATGACATTAAAAATCTCAAGTACAATGTGTCAAGTTGAAACTTTGATATACATTTTCTGTCAATGATTTGACGACAGTCACTAATGCACTAAACTAGCTCAAGTCGTGTTTTGTTTTAATGCTGAAAAAAAATAGTACTTAAGGATATCTATGTAATATCTAATAACAAAGTTTACATAAGACAAGCATTTGTAATATTCTTGAAATTACTGTGGAAAATTTAAACAGAAAGCGGTCAGTGAGAGAGAGGCAGTAAATACATTACATTTTTAAAATTCAAATGGTTACTAAAGTAAAATTTGATGTTTTGCCAGATAACTACACTTGGCCATGAATCATTACTGTTGACAAAGAATATTTAAAAATAGAAGTCTCAAGGGTATTGATACCCTTTATTACACAATCCACAGTTTAAATACATTTTACTTAGTTGTTAAAATTTAATATAAGATTAAACACATAAAGTTGATTAATTTACCTTTATAGAATCATTAAGTTTGACGTCAGAATGACGCGATGCGTAAATACAATTTAATATGAAAAATGGAATTTTAAGTATTTTTATGAAATGTGACCCTGAATATCAGTCGCCTCTTCTCTTATATAAAAAGTATTTTCGACTATTTTCATAAACACTTTTGTTACTAGCAGTTTTGCGTTGTAAATACCTATCCATAGGAATGAGACCCGCTTCTCGGAAGGACAATGACCTTCAGAGTTCATTCACCAACAAAATATCCAAGAAGGCTTGATGTTTGACCAGTATCTTATTAGTTTAATAAATTTACAGCTACTACCGACCTAAGGTCTCAATTTACGTAACTCACCATACCTAGTAATAATGTGTGTCATCAAAGGCAATATCAATTCTTATGACTTTGTTTCCCATTTATAAAGATCAAAGTCAAGAAAAACCTTCTAAGAAGTTCACTGACTTAATAACAGTGATAAAACTTAATACAACATTGCTAAACATATACCTTGTTTCTTCATAGTATTTTTTACCTGTTCTTTTTATTGTGTTAAAATATCATGATATAGGTATTCATCTCAGTGAATTAATTTAATCTATTTTATTCGTAACATACGTAAGCTCATTTAATTTTATTACTTCAACGGCCATTAGTTAAAATTCTTCGCAATTAAGCAGGGCCACCATACACTTATAAAAACATTTAAAGAATTCTTTTCGAAAGGAGAGAAAATGTAAATAAATTCGGTGTGTATATTTGCAGAGGCAGACGTGTTGAATAATTGATATTAGTCCAAAACGCACGTGATAAACAGCAACCATGAAAGTAATCGCATTTAATAGTATCACTTAATTATCCTTGTTGCCTAACAGTGCCTGTTTAAAATATCATATTAAAACTAAAAAATTTTGACGCCTTTTAATATCATTTACGCAAAGGGATATATGGTTATTTCGCCTCAAATTACTGGAAATCTGTCAATGGATTATTGACTAAAATCTTCAAGTTAAAATCACAGTCGAGATGTCTAAAATACATGCGAGAAAAAACTAAAAACTATTCTTGTCAGAAAGTACTGTAGGATCTCACATTTGTCAAATGGATTTTTGGCAAGTCATAAATTGGGAACACATAAGTGTATTTACGAGTGGCATGTCAAATACATATTACTATGTATATATTGGCATGGTAAAGGTTGCTGTTTTGCTTTTTTAAGTTAATAAAAAATAAAAATTCGGTGTATTCGTTTCTACTACTTCTTTCGCATTCTACTATTATTTCTTATCAAACAACAAGAGTAGCAAAACACTAGATTAAGAACAAAGAAATAAAAATATTAGCTATGCGGACGACCTCCGACGACATATCGAAACACAAATGACTCACGGTGTAATCTCTTCACTTGTTTATCATGAATCTAATTGTTGTGAATGATATTTTCATTTAAAAATTTTAATACGCATAGCCTCAGTTTTATAACTTTATCGCCTTGATACGTTTATAGTGATATAAATTCTGTAGTTTTATTTGTTCTATTTATTTACAATGTGTAATAAAAATCGACGGGAAGCTTTTCACATTCGTCTTTTTTGCCATTAACTTGTAAACGTTATTCGATTTCTCTATTTTCGAATTAGATCGGTTGATATTCTTTAAATATTTAATGGATGCCTATTAAATTACATTAGAAGCACACATTGTGGATCAATCAGACAGCGCTTGTGCAGTATTACAGGGAAATAATTGATCGATGGATGATGCGTGCGTCCAGTGTTCGGCTATTTTTAGTATAGCCGCCAGCATCCACAGCGAGGATAGGCTACCAATGGTGCGTGTGCACAAGCTTACGGCCCGGGGAGATGCCTTCAGCCGTGACAACGTATCGTTAACGTATAATGCTCATTCGCAACAAGTCCCTCGCCCTTTATTAAGACTTAGGTAGGAAAATATATCGATTTCTAATATATTCATGTAAGATTGTACGTTTAGAAACTGAAATATGTTAAATATTAACCACAACAAATTAATGGACTATTTTAATTTGTTAAGAAATACTAGCCACTTACATATTTCGTTTCTGTTTTTGAAACCACCGGAAATGAAATAAGAAAATTAAAACTAGAAAAAGTCGAAAATCAATGTAATGTTCCTATTATGTATTATAGCCGTAGTAATAATACCAGATAAAAAAATGTGCCAAAAAAATTGCCAATATGATTGGCGAAAAAACACGGCATCAACAAACTGATTTAGAGAAATTGCATAATATAAATCATATTTCAATAACATTAAAAAAAAAAAGAATCGAACATTTCGAACAAACCAGTAACTTATCTATCAATTTGATTTAAGACAATGAATTTAAATTCTCAAAACAAACGAATTTATAAGCAGCATTAAATTTATGTATAAACGAAAGAAAGCTATAATTTTCTACCCACTGCCGTAGTCTGCATTCTTCTATCATTATTTGTACCTCCGTAATGGATGGACAAGCAACATTGACGATTAAAACACGCAGGCAACGCAAGACCTACCTAGACTAGCGAATGTTTATTTTTTCAGCTTCGTAAAACGAGCGATTATTTTACATCGGGAAACATCGCATAAACCACGCGTCAGTTCACTACTTGCGGCTCGGTCACAATACGGAAAACCTCAAACGAGAACAGATACTTAATTATTGTGTACGTTCGGCATAAATTTTAATTAATTATTATGCAAAAATGAGTTTTTTTTTTGTTTTTTCTCAACCTATGCTGCTTTTGTTCTATACTTCAGGGAAAGGTTTCTGGCGTACACATGATCAGTAACAGGATTATCGCATTAGAACAAATCGTTGATTTTTTTTCATATTTAGTCGCAGCGAAACGTGACAGGATTTAAGTAGCAGTTTATAACTAAATTATTACATAGTAAACTATGTATTGCAAAAACAAAAAAAAACCTAATGTTAAAAACGATAATTGTCTTTAAAATATATCAAATAAGAATACAATCGATAAAACCTGTTTCAAACATAAACCGGTTGTATATTATTTATAGAATATTATTCGTATAGGCCCTACGGGATTACGTGTGTCGCATGTGATAACAGCCTAAATTCACTGCGTATTAATACAACGTAAATAAATTCGAGTCTACCATATAAATAATGAGATAATATTACATATGTTTTAATGAAAAAGTAAGTTTCTATTTCTTTACGATTAAATGTCAGCACGGATATCGGACACTGATAATGGACGTTTCAGGGTGGAATGTCTTATTAATGAAATAAAATAAAAAAAACAAAAAATCCAAGTCAGGAGATCTGGAATGCTGACGACTGCCGCAAACGGTTTCGAGTACCCACTGCCTGAAATATTATATATAGATACAAGAGTTTATTTCGGACGGTCTACGTTGGCGGGTTGCGTCTACGAACGCGGCTGACGCGTATTCACTGTGCCGTTTTCATTTTTATTGTAATAATGTATGTGTATATTCAGTTACATAATTTTATTTCTGATTCACTACAGGAGGATAGTGTGTGTAACGTCATGATAGTAGTTTTTGAGGTTTTCGCGAATCGATTAAAATCACTAGTTAATCACTAATTGAAACACGTGGGAAACAAATATTTTGAAAATATCTAAAACGGATAGAAGAGCTGCTCCCTATTTGATATTAAACTCTTAAGACACTGCGACGTAAATATAGTACAGTCAGCGTGGTCGAATCCATCGGCGGTAAATGGGTAGACATGACTACTATACACTAGTAATACAGAAGAATGAGTATTCCGAGGAGAACGTATAAAAGAAATATGAATAAAAATAAGACTTGAAGCTACGGTACGTGTGGCGCTCCTGCATTTTCCAAAACGCGATAGAAAGCAGTCTGCGCATAGTTTTTGTGCAACACCCCGCTAACTGCCGAGGTATAAATACGAGCGTTTGTTCTTTTTAAAATGTTAGAAATTTAGATAATATTTCCACTGGTGCTCGGGTGATAAGTGCTGATTTTAATCGCGAGCAAATCAAGCGCTCAGGTTTGAACGAGGAATTTGTTAAATAATTCATTTTTAGTGTCGACCTCACGTCTCAATGTGACCTGCGGCATTCACGTTGACATGTGGTCTATGAGCTCCGGTAACCAATTAACACCGAATACTCCGTTAGCTCTTTCACAAAACCAGTAAAAAAAAATAGTAACGATCTTTAAGTTGAAGTAAATCTAATAAAAAAAAAAAAAGTTAGTCTGGTGAATATCGACCTTCTTAACATTTTAAACTTTCACTGCAAATCACAAAAAAAAACTGCAAAGACCTCGTATATGAAATGGAACAAAACAACGGAGCATGGCGACGCTATTATTGCTAATCGTACTTTCACCTGTCTTTCTTTTTTTTTGTTTACAATGAGATAAGACGTCTAGATAACTCCACGCCGGGCAATTTATATTTCATTAATCTGTTCAAATCAAACATCTGTGATATGATTAAATGTTAAGCTAATTATATACTTCGTATAGTCCGAATGACATTCTGATCTAGAGATTCGTTTACGCCAGAATAGCATATGAAATTACCTGTCAATGTCATTCGTTATATACAAAAAGAAAACAATTAAATATTAGTTTAAAAAAAGAGAGGTTCATTGTTTAAACGCTATTAGCATTCACGACGCGCGTCTGCATCTATGTGACGTAATTGTATTCGAAATGATACAAGCATATCGCCAAGCGTCGCGGTCGCTGTGTTTCAAATGCTACTTTTAATTTTTATTAATAATTTGCACAGATGCTGACATGGCGTTATCGACGCGCTAGCTAATTGCTTACATTATTAACGACTCAGCTGGCAGTCAAACTGTACGCAAATAGAATCCATAACATTGATTTCACACGAGTTCCACTAATAACAGAGATCAAGGCAGTAAACGTTTAGATAGTCAATGATATGATTGACTAGGACGTAATTAGTGTTGTTTGTAGGAACTAATACGTTACGGCTTATTGAGAGACAATTGAAACCGGAACATTGGTGAACTCATTACGAAAGCCGCGATGACGTCAGCATTAGCTGAACATGGAACAGGTCAGACCACAAAACTTATGACGTGGTCTATTAGTTGTAATAGTACATAGCGCTACTCGGTTAATTATTGTTCTTTTTTTATTATTGCTTAGATGGGTGATTACTTTATAGTCTAAAAGCTAGCCATCGTCGGACCTCCCTCATTTTATAAAAGCGGAGCTCTTAGCACAATGTGCTTGGACGAACCAATTTTTATTTTTATTGCTTAAATTAGTGGACGATCTCAGCCCACCTGGTGTTGAGTAGTTACTGCAGTCCATAGACATCTACAACGTAAATGCGCCTCCCACCTTGAGATATAAGTTCTAAGGTCTCAAGTATAGTTACAACGGCTGCCCCACCCTTAAAACCGAAACGCATAACTGTTTCACAGCAGAAATAGACAGGGCGGTGGTACCTACCCGTGCGGACTCACAAGATCCTACCACCAGTGTTCATTAAATTTAAGATAGATTTGTTCCGTTCAATCAACAGACGGTGCAAGTCCTTTCATCATAATAAATATGCATACTTAAATCACAACATTTATAAGAAATGTGGTTTTTTTTTATAATCATGACACATTGCTGTGGCATTTAATTGTATTTGTCAAGACTAAACTGTGATATATTCTTGCATTAAAAGATTTAAACTGATAAATAATCAACCTTCGTTTCTATATTTACTTTTAACATTTAGCATACAACATAATACGTACGTGTTGTTATGATCACGTGATAGTTACTACAGCTATAACTTTCCAACCAGAGCCATCAAAGGTCGTTTATTGATTAGATTTTTAAACAATTCTAACCTTTATGCCTTAACTAAAATAAAGTAAACTATTGCTAAAATATATTGGCACTTCCGGCAATAATGTTTCTGTACTATATAATAATACTATAGGGTATCGTTTCGTAATACATCTACAGTAATCCTTCATACCAAACGTAATAATATGCTAAAAAACGGAATATGTCAAGTTAGCCATAAGGTAAACTTATGATAAAACAACTATTTACTTATCTGTAATGATAATAAAATGATGGATTACATGAAATAAATTCAAAGAAACTTATATATAAAATTTAATAATTAAACATTTTAAATGCAGTCTGCATCAAGGAACAAAATTCAAAATCGTGTTTTATCTACGTATAAGCTCTTGCTCACGTGAGCCGATCTTGAAATGAATATTGACGCATGAATCTCGCACAGTGATAATATGATTCGTACTTGAAAAACTAGAATAATCTTTATTTGATTTACTATAGTAGAGTAATGACTGAAATGTATTAAAAATCTTTATCAAAACCAAATTGTTTCTTGAGCTTGTTCAATGTGAACAATCGAATAAATGAAAGGGAAGATTTTGTTTATAGGATCATTTGTGTCCTATGGTTTGATGAATTGTTATTTATTCGCTTGAATTGAACCTTTATTACTAATATTCTTGGCTGTTCGGTTAATTTTTTTTTTTATATTTTCGTTGGCGAGCGAGTCTTATTTAATTAAAATATATATATTATAAATACGAAATTACAAGTTAAGTTTTTAAATTAACTCGCCTATATATTTGGTATTAAAAATATATTTACAAAGCATAGGACATTAATAAAACAACAACGTTATAAAAATATAAAGCTCAAATGATCCTAATTTTAATAGTATTAGTACAATTGTATAAAGGTTGAAGCAAGCTAGCTATCTATTGAATTGAAACACGCACTTCTTTCATGGAAAAATTCGCCACTGGCAAGCGCTGTTTCGTTTATCGCCGAACTACATGTTTAATGTCATAAAAATATCAATATTATGATCAAATATTTTCGCGAAAATGAGAAAACGCAATAAATATTCATATAAAAATCAAATTCACATGTTGTTATTGTTTTTATTGTTTTACCGAAAACAGCCAGTCTGTTATATAATTATATCAAATATAATATTAAAAATACTGGTTTACTGGTGGTAGGACCTCTTGTGAGTCCGCGCGGGTAGGTACCACAGCCCTGCTTATTTCTGCCGTGAAGCAGTAATGCGTTTCGGTTTGAAGGGTGGGGCAGCCGTTGTAACTATACTGAGATCTTAGAACTTATATCTCTAGGTGGGTGGCGCATTTACGTTGTAGATGTCCATGGGCTCCAGTAACCACTTAACACCAGGTGTGCTGTGAGCTCGTCCAACCATCTAAGCAATAAAAAAAAAAAACAGTCATGCTTGCAACGAATTTTTGTCGAATGTCTTCTGAATTCGTCTGAAATTTAGCTCCCCAAACGAATCTAAAGTATTTATGTACGATCGTAACTGGCGAGATGGATCACACGCCTGTTCTGATAAGTTTATCGCTGACTAAATGATCTCCTTTGATGTTATATTCAAAGCTCTAATTGTGGTTTTCCTCTCTTACAGAACTGCCTACGGAGGAAGGTAAGAAACGTTTGGAACATTATAACAATTTTTATGATTATGCATATGTAAAGTAGTAATAAATAATAATAATACAACCACACAGTACCCTAGCGCAAAGAAAAATGTACGACATAATTAAACTAAACTCTAATTATGACCTCTTTGATTTAATCAATGCCCTATGTTAACATTAATACATGTTAATAAACTCACCAATTCACTCTAGGCAAAAGTATATGGCAGTTAGTCTTGGAACAATTCGACGACCTCTTAGTCAAGATTTTGCTGTTAGCTGCTATTATTTCATTCGTGAGTATTGTTTATGTTACTAAATAAAAATCAAATCAGTTGACCCATCGATTTGTAGTGTTTTAACTGGTTTTGTGTAATTTTCAGGTATTAGCTTTATTTGAAGAGCACGAAGATGCATTCTCAGCCTTCGTTGAACCTTTCGTTATTTTACTAATTCTTATTGCTAACGCTGTAGTAGGAGTATGGCAGGTAAGATTATCATTCTAAATTGCAAGCGGTGCATTAATTGAAGAGAATTTAAGCATTAATATATCCGACAAATTCTTATTTAGGAAAGAAACGCCGAATCTGCCATCGAAGCTTTAAAAGAATACGAACCTGAAATGGGTAAAGTCATAAGAGGAGACAAATCTGGAGTACAAAAAATCCGTGCCAAGGAAATTGTCCCCGGGGACGTTGTTGAAGTGTCCGTTGGTGACAAGATCCCTGCTGACATTCGCCTTATCAAAATCTACTCCACTACAATCCGTATCGATCAGTCTATCCTGACTGGTGAATCTGTCTCCGTAATCAAACACACTGACCCCATTCCTGACCCCCGCGCCGTGAACCAAGACAAGAAGAACATCCTCTTCTCTGGTACTAATGTCGCAGCCGGTAAAGCTCGCGGTATTGTCATCGGTACTGGACTCAACACTGCCATCGGTAAGATCCGTACTGAAATGTCAGAAACCGAAGAAATCAAAACTCCTCTCCAACAGAAACTTGATGAGTTCGGTGAGCAGCTCTCTAAAGTAATCTCAGTTATCTGTGTCGCTGTATGGGCCATTAACATCGGACACTTTAACGACCCCGCTCACGGTGGAAGTTGGATCAAGGGCGCCGTCTACTACTTCAAAATTGCCGTCGCTTTAGCCGTCGCTGCCATCCCTGAAGGTCTTCCGGCCGTCATCACCACTTGTCTCGCTTTGGGTACCAGAAGAATGGCTAAGAAAAACGCTATCGTAAGGTCTCTACCGTCGGTCGAAACCCTTGGCTGCACATCCGTCATCTGCTCCGACAAGACCGGCACACTGACCACTAACCAAATGTCCGTATCGCGCATGTTCATCTTTGAAAAGATCGAAGGTGGTGACAGCAGCTTCCTCGAGTTTGAAATCACTGGCTCAACTTATGAACCAATCGGCGACGTTTATCTGAAAGGACAGAAAGTTAAGGCTGCCGAATTTGATGCTCTTCACGAGATCGGTACCATCTGCGTAATGTGCAATGACTCCGCTATTGATTTCAACGAATTCAAACAGGCGTTCGAAAAGGTCGGCGAAGCTACCGAGACTGCTCTGATTGTTCTTGCTGAAAAAATGAATCCCTTCAATGTTCCTAAGACTGGCTTAGATCGCCGATCCTCTGCTATTGTTGTGCGTCAAGAAATTGAGACCAAGTGGAAGAAAGAATTCACTCTCGAGTTCTCTCGTGACAGGAAATCTATGTCGACATACTGCACACCCCTCAAACCCTCGCGCCTCGGCAACGGACCCAAACTATTTGTCAAGGGAGCACCCGAAGGTGTACTCGAACGTTGCACACACGCTCGCGTCGGCACCAGCAAGGTTCCTCTGACCACGACCCTGAAGAACCGCATCTTGGACCTGACCCGCCAGTACGGTACTGGTCGCGACACGCTGCGTTGCTTGGCCCTGGCCACGGCCGATAACCCCCTCAAACCCGACGAAATGGATCTCGGTGACTCCACCAAATTCTACACTTACGAAGTCAACCTTACGTTCGTCGGAGTCGTCGGCATGTTGGACCCCCCTCGTAAAGAAGTTTTCGACTCGATCGTTCGTTGTCGCGCTGCCGGTATTCGCGTAATCGTCATCACCGGTGACAACAAGTCCACTGCCGAAGCCATCTGCAGGTATAATATTTAGACTTTTCTAATCCATTCTTTCTATTGTTTCTCGATACTCAATCTGAATGTTTTTAGGCGTATCGGTGTATTCGGAGAGGACGAAGATACCACTGGCAAATCTTTCTCCGGTCGCGAGTTCGATGACCTGCCCATCGCCGAGCAGCGCAGCGCATGCGCCAAGGCTCGCCTGTTCTCGCGTGTGGAGCCCGCGCACAAGTCTAAGATCGTAGAGTACCTGCAGAGCATGAACGAGATCTCCGCCATGGTCAGTATTTACCCAAAACATATTAGGCCTCGAACGAGAGTGAACCGAAACACGCAAAAAACTATTTAGTATCTATATACTGAAAGTTGTTAAAATCAGTAAAACGTAATAAGTGTACACCGCAAACAATGTCTTCATAGTGTATTGAAAGCTAGTCCGCCGGTATTATTTAATGTTTACATTTCGCACCACATATTAGAAACGCTTTGTGTTTACGTTAGGGCACTGCTGTTTATAAACTGTAATACTTTAAAGTTATCTCGATCAATACTACAGAGTATTGTGTTTTATGATAGCGACGAGTAATAAAATAATGGGGTAATTCAATTTAGTAAGCTTTTCGCGGACTTACTCCCTTTCGGTCGCCACGGAAATATTCATCAGTATAATCAAATGCCATTGTAAACGGCCGTCTGGTGTAGTGGTAAGTGACATGGTCACTATACAAGGGGGTCGCGGGTTCGAATGCCGCCAAAGGAAGATATTTGTATGATAAGTATAAATGTCTTCCAGGGTTATGGATGTATATTAAAATATATGTATGTGTATAATAAAAATCTTACATTTATATCCGTTATCTGGTACCTGTAACACAAGTTCTTTACGAACTTATCACGGGACCAGTTAACGTGGCGTGATTGTTAGTAAATATTTATTATTATTTATTTATTTATTCATCTTTATATTTGATTGATACTTGAGTGAGGTATCGATGGAGTTTAATCTTTGTTATTTTTCCTAGACTGGTGACGGTGTGAATGACGCACCGGCTCTGAAGAAGGCCGAGATTGGTATTGCCATGGGATCCGGCACGGCCGTCGCGAAGTCCGCCGCCGAGATGGTGTTGGCCGACGACAACTTCTCCTCCATCGTCGCTGCTGTTGAGGAAGGTAACGTTATCCTTTATTTAGCCACTAAATATTTTTTCTTTTGATTAAATTCATTCACAAAATATTGAATACGCCAAAAAAAGAAAAAAAAATTCAAAAGGTTTATATCTATTAAAATATTTTGTGAATAGAGAACCAATGCCCAGAATTGCCCCTAAATTCTAAACATGGGGAACAGTTGGCACGGAGTAGAAACAAGTGACTATCTCTCCACCCTACTTACTAATCTACATATAAGGCAGCGGTCGGGGAACCCCACGTAAATTACCCCAAATGGGGTAAAATGAAATTTTGGGAGGTAAAAATGAAACTTTTGCGAGTAAAAAGTATATATTGAAGTGAAACTTCTTTAGAATCGTTGTGATTTCAAACTTGATGAAACGAAACGAACAAATATTATTATTTTTCGAAATTATCATGGGGCTATAATATGAAAGATGCTAAAAAGAAGCGATTTCGTTTTTTTTGTTCTTCGCCATGGGGTAATATCAACTTACACAAAAATATTTTGGGGTAATAATTAAAAAAGTTCCCCGATCGCTGATATAAGAGATCCACAGAAAAAATGTGGATTTATTCACCCACCAGACTGCAGGTCGACTTCAAATATTAATATTATAAAACTTTGCCAGGTCGTGCCATTTACAACAACATGAAGCAGTTCATCCGCTATCTGATCTCATCCAACATCGGTGAGGTGGTCTCGATCTTCTTGACTGCCGCTCTGGGTCTGCCCGAAGCTCTGATCCCCGTCCAACTGCTGTGGGTGAACCTGGTCACTGACGGTCTGCCCGCTACCGCCCTCGGATTCAATCCTCCCGATCTCGACATCATGGACAAGCCCCCTCGCAAGGCTGACGAAGGTCTCATCTCCGGATGGCTGTTCTTCAGGTCAGTTGAAAATCTATATATTTTATATAAAAATGAATTGCTGTTCGTCAGTCTCGCTAAAACTCGAGAACGGCTGAACCGATTTGGCTAATTTTGGTCTTGAATTTATTTGTGGAAGTCCAGAGAAGGTTTAAATAGTAGATAAATATGAAAATGCTCGGAATTAAATAAAAATAACAATTTTGTTTTTCCTTTGATCGTGTTCCCCATCGGACGGATTCCGTTTGTTTGTTTTAAGTTTATTTTATACAAAAGTTTAGGTCTTTTATTTATCGATTGAGGCACTACGAAGTCTGCCGGGTCAGCTAATATATAATAGTTATATCGGTTGAGACTTGGTAAAAGTGATATCTACAGTGGGCGTAATCATATCCTAGAGTCCACTGTTCCTCATGGCCATTAAAATTTACAGATACATGGCTATCGGTGGCTACGTAGGTGCGGCCACAGTCGGCGCTGCCTCCTGGTGGTTCATGTACTCCCCGTACGGACCTCAAATGACATACTGGCAACTCACTCATCACTTACAATGTATCAGCGGTGGTGATGAATTTAAGGTAAAAATCAATTATTTAGTAAAAGAACAAAATTAGACCTGGGAACCAAATTGAAAAAAAATATTATAGAAAATGTTTGAAACGAAATAAAAGATTAAGATGTCATGATATAACTAATAGGCAGTAAAAAATATATTCAAATGATGCTTTATTACAAAAATAAAATATTCACAGGGTGTTGACTGCAAAGTGTTCACTGACCCTCACCCGATGACGATGGCTCTCTCAGTGCTGGTCACAATCGAGATGTTAAACGCCATGAACAGCTTGTCTGAGAACCAGTCTCTGGTCACCATGCCGCCCTGGTCAAACTTGTGGCTCGTCGGCTCCATGGCGCTCTCCTTCACTCTTCATTTCGTCATCCTCTACGTCGAGGTTCTTTCGGTGAGTGACTTGTTGTTTCAGATGTCAGAAAATTGTCTTGAATCATAAAATAGATTTAATGATAAGATAAGATGAGATTTCGTATCTGGCAGAGCACGCGGTAAGGCCGCGCAGGCTAATACCACCGATCTGTTTATTTCTGCAGTAGTAACATCCTGTTCTTCTCACCTGTAGAACTGGGATCCTAACCTTCTGCAACATTAATCATTGTTTTTTAAATTTAGCTTCAAAGACACTTCTGACACAATTTATGGTTCATTGATTTCTTGTTATCATACTATGGATTTTCTTAACATGATTATGTACACAGGCCGTGTTCCAAGTGACGCCGCTGTCGCTCGACGAGTGGGTAACCGTAATGAAGTTCTCAGTACCCGTGGTACTGCTGGATGAAGTGCTCAAATTCGTCGCGCGCAAGATCTCCGATGGTGAGACGCGCACTGTCCTAGACTGGCTCCACGGCATGCAATGGATTGTGCTCATGTGGGCCGTCTTCTTTGGCATCATCATCTACGGACCACTATAAGCCGGCCCGCCCGCGTGTCGCGCCATCCCGTTTGTTGACACCTAATACCCCCGCCGAATTCCGCGCCCCCCGCCGCTCGAGCGGCCCCTAGCGTGCAGTCGAGCCGCTGGCCGAGCCACTGGCCGAGCCACTGGCCGAGCCACTAGCCGAGCCCGCCCGAGCGCGGGTGGCGCGACGAATTCTACTGTGGAAACACATGGACTGTGAGCTGCGCTCACCACAGTACCCGTCATCTAACAGTTTGGAATGCTAATTCTGACGCACCCGTGTGTGAAGTGACATCCCTAGTGCACGGTCCCGGTCGCGACGAAGGACTCCGGTTTAGTCTCTAGTGTTCTCTGTGTCGCTTAGGTGTAGATAGATGTAAACGACGGAGCGTTCTCGCTCCTAGTGCATTATTTATGTGCGAGACAATAAAAAGTTTGGAGCTCATTTTTAGAGACGAGAATACATCGAGTATATTTTTCATACTTTTACCGATTACATTATACATGCTACACGATTTTTTGATGTGAAGTGGCTGTGAAGATCTTCATTCTGCTTACTTGCGACACCAAAAAATGGTTTTTGTGGAGAAGTATTTATAAGTTAGATAATAAATCTATGAAGGTACATTTTGTATATTTAAATGAAACGAAGCTCCCTTTTTTTAAATTAACATGTTAATAAAGGACTCGCACATACTCAGTACCTTGTCCTCTTGGACTACAGACGTGTTATTGAAACTTACTAGGAATATAGTAAGCTGCAATGTAAGTTTAGCATAATTTATAGCAAGCGTGTTATTGATAGGGACGTGGTTATGTTTCTCAGCGTTCTGTCTTATTCGAGAACTATTGTCCTTCCACTTGTGACTGCTTTATAACAATTCCTAACGCATTTTCGTTTTTCTTTTTCATATAACCTTTTGTTTTCGCCTTATAATAATTTATAAACCTTACCAACAAAATAATAACCATGAATGTTATATTTATTATTATTGATATGCAATCAAGTGGCACAGGTGTAAGCCTTACAGCCACTACCTGGGCTATTGAATGCCAAATCAGCAAAAAATAGCCTTATTTCAATATGAACTGATGTACCATTATTTACGAATTTGGAAATAGAGAGTAGTATTGAAATAAACTGTTTACGTAATGTATGTACGAACATAATTTTCGTGGATTAAGGGGTAAACATCTATTTTAGAAACGAGACATTATATAATTATAAGTAAATATGAATTTTGTCCATTTATCAAGTTTTTTGTAAGGTAGAAAGGTCCGTACGTACATAAGATTTTTTTTGTGATTAAATGAAGTGATCTTGCATGTGTGCATTGCATGGTGATATTTTCCGAGTGCAATTTCTTTTTATCTAATAAAAAGATCTAAAATATAAATCTTTTGCTAAATTATACATAGCCACAAAAGTTTTACTAGAAGATTGTACAACTTTTCGATATTTAAGTAATTTAGTAAAACTTTAGTGTTAATGTATTCGCCGACACAGATAATTTTATTAATGCCTTACAATATCTTTATACACATTCAACACAACTACAGGTATCTACGGCCAGCGGTATGATGTGAAAATGTAACACTATACACTGCACAATTTGAGGGCATGCTCAAAACTTTGTTGTGATTTGTCCTTGTACCCAGAAAAAATACCAGATTAACTTATTTGAATGTACAGTCGTTTATACAAACTATTTTACTTTTCATTAAAATAGTGAACAATTAATGTTTTAATTATTTCCCTTTAAAAATCCAAACTAAAAAACACCCTACCTACATCGCACACATACAACATTCCACTTTCAGATGTGTTCAGAATCCTCACAATAAAGTAACACTTTTTGTTTTTGCTAATACGTTTTGTACTAACCAAAGTTTTGCAAGCTTAAATACAATTTAATTACATATTTATACCGGCTTTGTTTTTATATTGTGTATTTTACAAAAAAAAAAACTATATGAAAATTCCAATAATTGGCATTTAATTAAAATTGCATTTATTCAAAACAATTTTATGGTCCAAATGAAAAATTTCAAAAGAAAAACTTTCGATCGGTATGTAAAAATAATTGCAGAACTTTCCCTAAACCCGTTACGAGTGTCATTTAAAACCTCGCCCTACCCTACCCGACCCGACCCTACCCGACCCAACCCGACCCGACCCGACCCGACCTAACCTGACTAGTCCCGAGTCCCGCATGCACTAACGTGGTGTTGTCTGCCCCCAGCCCAGCCGTCGTGGAAGCTGTAAGCGCCGGAACACCGTCGCAGCGCCACTGCACGCACATATTCCATGAACACTATTTGTTTGTTGTGATCCCGCAGTGAAACTACACACGTAACGACACGGTTGTGATATCTGCATAAGACCCAGTAAGTTCGGACCACAGCCTCCGATCGAGCGCCGGCGACACTAACGCTCTCGTTGTTTTCCAGCGAACGAGGTGGTCATTGACAAGTGGTAAACGACACCATACATAGTTCCTCACCCGCTTCTCTCTGCTACTTCTACCGCTCTCGTCTCCAGATGTAATAACCGAATGGCTTTTAGTGTGTACGTCGCGTCGCGCCGTTGCGACCGTACCGTGTATGTCGTGTCGGAGAGCGTAGCCGCCACTCCAGCGTTGAGCTCCATCAGAGAGGACTTTATGTTGTTCATAATGTGTATATAATACAGTATGTTTAGGAGGTTTAATCGATTTGTTATAATAATATTACGTTGTTCTAAATAAAGACTACATGGTGCCCGTCGACAAAAGCAGTGCGATAGACGATGTGTACTTAAGTTGAGAGCACTTAATTTAATTTATTGTTATTTTTTTATTCTATTATATTATAGTTTGCTTAACTAGAGCCGAGTCTGTTTCTATTAGTGCTGACGCCTCGACGAGCAATATGGTGTCTGTAAGGGAAGGATAATTTTTGATGATTGTCCAGTGTTTGGGACCTGAGTCCAAAAATTTAAACATACCTGTAAATTTTAATGTATTATTGTTTTGTACAATAAATCGTTATAAAACGACTGTTGTTTTATTTCTTAGCTAATTTGTTTTATTGTATTAGNCTCTGCTACTTCTACCGCTCTCGTCTCCAGATGTAATAACCGAATGGCTTTTAGTGTGTACGTCGCGTCGCGCCGTTGCGACCGTACCGTGTATGTCGTGTCGGAGAGCGTAGCCGCCACTCCAGCGTTGAGCTCCATCAGAGAGGACTTTATGTTGTTCATAATGTGTATATAATACAGTATGTTTAGGAGGTTTAATCGATTTGTTATAATAATATTACGTTGTTCTAAATAAAGACTACATGGTGCCCGTCGACAAAAGCAGTGCGATAGACGATGTGTACTTAAGTTGAGAGCACTTAATTTAATTTATTGTTATTTTTTTATTCTATTATATTATAGTTTGCTTAACTAGAGCCGAGTCTGTTTCTATTAGTGCTGACGCCTCGACGAGCAATATGGTGTCTGTAAGGGAAGGATAATTTTTGATGATTGTCCAGTGTTTGGGACCTGAGTCCAAAAATTTAAACATACCTGTAAATTTTAATGTATTATTGTTTTGTACAATAAATCGTTATAAAACGACTGTTGTTTTATTTCTTAGCTAATTTGTTTTATTGTATAGACGAGCCGACAAGTTCTATTAGCAATGTAACCCAGTACATCTGATATAAGTGGTTATTAGGGCCGAAATATATCAAGGTGAAATAAATGAGGGCGCCACCTCTGGATAAGGTGAAACTATAAGATTAGTGTGATATATTTATTTTTCAAGCCAAAATACACAAATATTTCGTGCATCTTTCAGGTGACAGTACTCCAATATTTCGTACAATAAATAAATAGATAAGACGGTGGTACATATTAAAGTCATACTTTAATAAGCACTACCAACAATAGTATTAGCGCCTGAGCTACGGACTAGATAAATAATGAGCCGATGCGCTTCTTTGGGTGAGCCTAAAAAACAGTAGCAGTAACTTTAGTCCCAAATTAAATAACTGAACATATTATTAATACATTCATGCTCAAAGAGTTACAGTCGAATCCTTGAGGCAGGCAGATTATTACATGAAACGTGGTTGGGATTTACGCTAAATAGTAGGCTACAAAATTAGTTTAGTGATTTCCGAAATAAATTTGACTCGTAGTGAATCTTTAAACATTTTACATGCTAAAATATATTTGATACTGTCTGCAGCTAAATTTTTATGTCTTATTCGTTTGATTTGCCTAATGCACTAGCAAAAGAAACTAATCACTATAAAGTGTTATAGCTTTCGGGAAACTACCAAGGAAAGATCTTGCTACCTAGCGAGTGTTTGAGTTCAAACGTTTGGTTGTAGTTGGTTGTACTTGGTTTTTAAGACCGACGCTCTAACTGGTGTATATCTTGAAAATATCCCTACCACTGTTCAAGTGTTTGTCAAATTTAATGTCTTTTATTCTATGATAGCCACAACTACAAAACAAATGCCAAAGCCATATGTGTTGTTTGTATAGTAAAATAGCATGAAGTATAATGAAATCAAATAGACTACAGAATGAAATAAAAAAGGAATGTAATGCAAGTAAATGCGGTGAAATAATACAACACAGCGGGTGTTGGATGATCTGAAATGATGTAACCTCAGTAAATTTGATGGGAATTTAATGAGAGTTCAATGGATTGGCTGAACCCGAAACAAACCCTGGCAGCCCCCTTTGTTCGGACTCTTCTCATGCTCGTTGCATAAGAAAATCCATATTATTGTAAACCCGCACGAGACGATATCACCCTGCTGCTTATTTCTACTACGAGGGAGTCCTTTAGAGTTCGGTTCGAAAGGTGAGATAACTGTTATAGAATACAATTAATACTTCGAATTTAAATTTTAGGGCGGGTGACGGTATTCATTTGCTGTTGTATAAGGGTTCCGGTAAACACTTCCAGATGGTAGCGAACTCACCACCATTTACATAGTAAAATTAAAAGTGTTAAGTAACGTTTCATTTTCTTCCTTTCGAAGTTAGGTTCTTACAAAAAGTCCATTGAATGACCCGTAAATTTTCTCCATTTTCTAAAAAGTTATTCCATTTCCTCATATTCTACGTCTTTGCGTCTTTTGTATTCTGGGTATATTCTCATCTTACTTCATTGAATACATTTCTTTCTTGGAAGGATATCTGGTTGGTTACAGGCCTTTCGGACGTGTTCCAGAACGTGTGAGTGGACACGCACGCTGCCAACAGTGTGGAATTTCCTAAGAGGTGTCCGATCTGAGTGAACTGATGTTGTGGACTATGTTTCACATCATTAAACTATTTCGCGAGTTCAAAGATTACGGCAGCCTATGCTATGCCCCTAGTGTTAGAACTAGAATCGTCTAATAGCACTAAGAGCGTATCTGGTGGATCCGTAAGGACGTATCTAGGGCATCAGCAGGCGCCATCACTATAAATATTATGTTTATCAATTTTCAATTACATTCCATTCTATACACTTACCGTACAATTCACATGGCTTCGACCTCATAACAAAAAATTTGTTAGCGTGAGCAGGTTTTGTTTGCCTATCGAATGAATTATTTAAAAAAATATTGTTGTTTTGTCCCACTGTATTTTTTTTCTCTATTCGCTGTTAACAAGGGCTACTCCAGCTACACGCAGACGGGTAGATGAACTCATGGGCTCTAACTGGAATTGAAATTGGACCTCGGAATTTTTTAGCACTAGCCGCAGCAAGAGCAGTGCTTCGCAAAGTCTACGACCGGATCGGAATCACGACCGACTGAGAAGATTCGACGAGAAGACAACAGTATTATCTATATCCTTTCTTATAACATGCATCTATCGCGACTTTTTGTCGGCAACGCGAGAACTGAAGTTGTGTGATTTGTTTTATTTTGTCTATTTAGTGTTTCTTCAGATTTAAATGTGTAATAACGGTGGATTATTAACTGTTTAATATCTGTGAAAGTGTACAAATGTGGGAAAATGAAACGAAGCCACTGGACGTAACTTCTTGAGATCCTCCAAAAAGTTCACTGCATAAATCTCAGTAAATGTCCACCATTTTACTGAAATTATAATATATTTAATTTTCATCCCATATCATCCTATCTCATTTCGTTTAATTTCATCCCTGTTGAATAATTTCCCAAATAAATCACCTTAATTTTATTTCATTTCACTCTATATTATAATTTTTCATAAAAGTAAGAATATAAATTAAAATAAGACATGACCTTAAAGATCTTAGTTACCAGGTCATAAAATCCCTTAAAAAAATATGCATCTACCTATCATGGATAATACACTTTTACGTAAGCGCTTTATCATAAATAATCTTACTCTATGGCTAGACTGTATGGGCTTAGATTCCCTTGCCTTTCTTAATAAGGAAAAATTGAAACAAAAAATTCTATGGCTTCAAACAAACAGTGACAATTCGAATATATTAAGGGCCGTAATATCAATCGTAGTTTAAACTATGGAGTTCGTAATCTACGGAAAAAGTTGATCGATGGCTTAAACCTGTGTCGTAATATCAATTCGAAAATGTGGAGAGATCAACTAAACTTCGATCAGTGCTTTTTTCATGGCAATATTATCAGTTTCGTTCACTATCCATTCATTCTTTTAATCATTTTTAATAATAAGGCAATAATTATACGTGACAGTGACGTTAAAAAGAATTATTCCAATTTTAAACATAGTAGGTACTGATCGGGATTTTTAAAATTTTGTTGATAAAATATATTTATTAATATAAGCAACCAAATGAGTGAAAATAAGAAAAGAGTTGCGAATTTTACGACTGCCGAAACGGAACTTTTAACGACGTTAGTAAAAAGATATTCGAATGTGTTAGAAAACAAAACAACAAACGTTGTAAACAATCAATTAAAAGAAGGAACATGGAAAAAGCTCGCAGAAGATTTCAATAGCTCTTCTGGAATGTGCCTAAGAGACGCGAANCGGGTGGGCACCACTACCCTGCATATTTATGCCACGAAACAGTCATGCGTTTCGTTTTGAAAGGTGAGAGAGCCGTTATACCTCGAGATGGCGGCGGCATTGATGCGATGTGTGGGGTTTGGTGACCACTTAACATCGGGTGGGCCATGAGTTCGTCCATCCCTTAATACTTTTCGTGACTCTGGTGTCACCCTGGATAATGTACTGTTGAGCTTCGGATCTCCCTCTGACAACATCATTAACCTCTAACTAAACATCTGTGGTTCAGAAGATAACTGCATTTTGCTTGTAGTCATTGTTTGAAATAAGTTGAACGAACATGATAAGGTCTATCTCGTTTTGACGCGTTTAACTGAATGAGCGGCCTAGCGGTACTTCTGTTGTCAGGGCTGTCATCGAACAGTTAAAATAATTAGTACCTAAATTAGTTTTTTGTAAGAATGTTTTTAACATTTTTAAAGTGAACTAAATTGTCGATACTATAGCCATGTTTCGGCGTGAAAAACCCATTGTAGGACACCCTGTATAGTAATTGAGTGTATTAAAAACACTACGCTGGTAACAATGGTATCGGAAGAAGACTTTGCCAAATTAAAAAAATACAAGTTGCATTCACAATAAATCACATCACATTAAAAACTGCGATTACATGTTCTTGTTTTTATGGAAGTATAATTTTAATGTGCTTAGATTTAATTCAGATGCGTGAAACTTTTATTGAAAAATCCAAAGATTAATATTATGTGACTATGTGTATTATCTATGTTACAAACTACGTGGTTAAAACTTTCAAATAGACCTCAATCCTTGGAAAAAGCGCGGGAAACTTCGTTTATGGTAGACGTATTTTTCACGGTGGTGAAAATTTAATTTAATTTTATAGTTAAAACGCGGAGGATAAGCTGGTAGTGTAAGTTTTAGTAATATATGTAATCTTTGTATCATATTTGTGTATAGTGTCATCGTATAGTTGGTAAGTTTTTATAATTTTTGTAAATATTGTATGANATAAGCAACCAAATGAGTGAAAATAAGAAAAGAGTTGCGAATTTTACGACTGCCGAAACGGAACTTTTAACGACGTTAGTAAAAAGATATTCGAATGTGTTAGAAAACAAAACAACAAACGTTGTAAACAATCAATTAAAAGAAGGAACATGGAAAAAGCTCGCAGAAGATTTCAATAGCTCTTCTGGAATGTGCCTAAGAGACGCGAAAACTCTGCGGGCTAAATACGAAAATTTAAAAAAGACCTTAAAACGAAAATATAGTAACCATAAAAGAAGCCTTTATTGCACTGGAGGTGGCCCTGGACCATCGCAGGCTTTAAATCTAACTCAGGAAGAGGAAATAATAATGGAGCTTGCTGGGCCAAGTGTGGAAGGATTGTCTCCACGATTTGATTGTGATAAGGTACATTTCTACATATTAAAAGTAATAATATTAATACCTACTTCAATATTTTGAGTATTCTAAAGGTTCTTTACATTTTGAATCCTTATCTGGTTTTAGGCAAACTTTGCATAAATTATATACTGGGCTAATATAGATTAATCAACTATAATTATGAAAAACTAAATGTAACTAGGTCAAAATACTACAAAGTATTTTCTCAATCAATGTTTATTATATATCACATGCTTTTTTTTAGATACCAGAATGTAAAGAAACAATTATAAAACTTCCAGTGAGTAGTGAAGTAGAAGATAATCCCGGAAAGGAAAATAGTCTACCGACTGATGACTGCAGTGTGAACATGGTTGGCTTAATAGTTATTTGTTATCTATTTAAACTTCTAATTAAAAAAAAACTGAAATAAATTAAATACTAAAAATAAACTACAAATTAAAATTAATGTAGATAATCTGGTGCCAGGCTACATGCAAGTACATTCCCTATTTGTTATTTTGTATACTAATTATTTTCTATGAATTAATATACTAATATCCCACAAATATCTCACTGCTGGCCTTGAGCTTCCCATTCATGAGAATGGACAGTATACCCATAACCTGTCCCAAGTCAAAATTATAACATTTGCTTTATTTTAGATGGACAAATTTAAGTTGCACAGCCAAGACACAGCTCCAGTTTCTATCAGTTATTCAGAATGTACCCCCAATCGATTTATTCTGAAAAAAAAACAGTCAACACCGTTACGAAGAAATCCAGAGAGTTTGAAGAGCACAATGGAAAATTATGGTGACTTGTCACAAAAAAAAAAGGATCTAGCTATTGCTCAACTAAAACACTTGGAAGAAAAAGCAAAACAAGATAAAATAGAACATGAACTTAGATGTGAACAAATAAGGGACAAAGCCCAACAGGAAAAAAAAGAACATGAATTGAGATGCGACTTGTTAATGTTAGAAATATTGTTGAAGAAAAAGGAATTAAATAAATAAAAAATAAACACTATGTAAAAGTTGTTTTATTTGTAAAATTATTACAATAATTAAACTATTTCCGTTTTTATAATGCAAGATCTGTTTATTTAATGTAACATACTAAAATAACTATTTATTAACAATTGTCTTTTTAAATGATTGTTGTTATCACTATTTCCGTTATCAACATTTATTGGGTGGCTAGACAAATCTATTGAATTTTCTATGTCTATGTCTAAACTTGGAATTCTATCTCCGTTATTTATGCATATATTATGCAAAACTGCACAGGCAACAATAATGTCTTGGACTAACTCTAGATTTACTCTCATACCAATTGATAACACAGGAAAGCGTCTTTTCCATATTCCAAAGCACCTTTCTATACAATTTCTAGTGCGAATATGAGACTCATTATAAAGTTTTTCTGCTGATGTCACTGGATTCTGAAGTGGTGTTAATAAATAGTTTTTCAATGCATACCCAGCATCACCAAGAAGAATATTTTGTCCCATTTGTCCTGATTCGAAAACAGCACACAAACGACTGTTACCAAAAATAGTACTGTCATGACTAGCACCAGGCCACCTAGCAACAACATCCAAAAATTTTAGGTTGGATGTACATACTGCTTGGACATTTAATGAAAAGTATCCCTTCCTATTTCTATAATGCTCTGAATTTTGCCCTCCTGGGGATTGTAAACGAATATGTGTACAGTCTAGAGCACCATATACACAAGGAAATCTAGCAATAGAATAAAAGCCAGTTTGATTTTGTTGCAGTTCAATTGGCGAAAGATGAAGTTTAAGATGGTTAAATCTGTTGGCTGCAATAGCTTNTTGGACATTTAATGAAAAGTATCCCTTCCTATTTCTATAATGCTCTGAATTTTGCCCTCCTGGGGATTGTAAACGAATATGTGTACAGTCTAGAGCACCATATACACAAGGAAATCTAGCAATAGAATAAAAGCCAGTTTGATTTTGTTGCAGTTCAATTGGCGAAAGATGAAGTTTAAGATGGTTAAATCTGTTGGCTGCAATAGCTTTTGTTACTCTTTTAATTGTTTTTCCTGCTGTAGTTTGGTGTACTCCACTGAAATCTCCAGCTGTTATTTGCATACTTCCAGTTGCATAGAATCTTAGTGTAAGCAGGAGTTGGTTCATTGGGGACAATGCATTGTTCCTGAAATAATAAAAATCAATATAATGAGTTAGTTATGACAAGCAATTACAAACATGCAATGAAATACAGAAATATACAACAATTATATAGCCTGTGTTTACCTACTGTACTTCTACATGTCCAAAATGTATAAGTACAGTAGGTATACACAGGTTAAATATTTTTTTTGGTAATTTACGTATTCATTTGGAAAGCAATTTATTAAGTATTCGATTTTGATATAATTAAAATAATATTTACCGTGAAGTAGGATGACGAATTTGGTTTTCAATTTCACATAAAATAGCTTGTGCTGATGTTTTGGAAACACGAAAACGCCGTATGAATTCTATATCGTCCCACTCATTCCATTGATTGTTTCTTGTACGAATAACGTACGGTCTACTATAATATATATATAAATAATTTAAATCATCGATATCTGAATCTGAATCACTATTGTAATATTCCATATCACTGGTTAATATCAAAAGCACCCAAATACAAAATCTTTTAACGTTATTTACAATGACATTAAATGACATCTAATCCATGAAGGAAGGTTTAAACGCCCCTCTGGGAAGGTTTAAACTTATTGATAGTTTAAACTGTGTTGGGTCGATGATCTGTCATTGATATTACAAAAGAAACGAAAAGGACAGATTAAACTGTGTTCTCTAGTTTAAACTACGATTGATATTACGGCCCTAAGTGTATAATCTCTCGAATATATTAAGTGTATAATCTATGGTATAATCTATGGTGACAATCACTGTCAACGAATTTAAAACAAATAAGATTGTATATAACTATGTTTTTTTTATTTTATCTTAATCCGCTAACTTGGAAAGAATAAATGTAAATAAATTCAATATTACAAAATAATTTAAATTTACTTCCGTTTAATATCAGTGGAGAATTTCTTAGCTGGATATTTTTTCGTTTCAGTCATTACATTAGGAGTGTAACGGGTCTTTGCGTAACGTAAGCAATGAAACGTTACTCAAAATTTATTTTAGCAATAGTTGTAGTTTTAGGTGGCGTTTATTACCGAAACGAACTTGACATTTACTTAAGTTCTTTTATTCGAATATTGTACAACGAAAATGTAAATAATAACAATGTGTTTACGTACGACGAACTAGCTCGTTACAACGGTATTGAAAATGCGAAATTGTACTTAGCAGTTTTGGGTACGATTTACGATGTCACAAAAGGTGAAAAACATTATGCTAAAGGAGCGACTTACCATTATTTCGTAGGTCTGTACTGAGGTAATACTTCAATATTTATTTGGAATAAGCATTTACGAAAGAAGATTTACAATTAAAATTTAATAACCTAACCATACCTAAAAACCTTTCACCTTCTTGTGTTTGAGGCATCTGTATGGTATTTTATTGTGCACCAAGTAATCTAAATGCAACCAAAAATACTAATAGACCATCTAGGAATAAAATATTGAGTTTAAAAAAAATGCTGATTTAATGATAAATGGTATTGTAAAGAGTAGTTTAGTCTCCCATATGTATAACGATTTTTCTTTTATCAGCAATCACTCATCATGCCTACAACACTTAATTCTTTGTGGGAAATCTGTGATTAGAAGTTGAAAATTATTCTGGTAATAATGAATATAACTATTATTCAGAAACAAGGAACTAATTATAATTTTACTTTATTTTCATGATTATTGTAGGCAAAGACGGATCAAGGAGTTTAATAACAGGAGACTTTAGAGATGAAACTAAAGAAAAGGACCATGTTCTTGACCTAAAATGTAGTGATTTGTCTGCACTGTTGCACTGGAAACAAACTTTTAAACAAAAATATACAGAAATAGGTGAGCAATTTTAAAATAAAATTTAGTTATAAATATTGCATATGGCATTATTAGGCTTAGCTGTGTCAACATTCTCAAACCATCTAATTCTAAACACCATGAAAATAATTGGTATATTTGGTTATGTTCTAAAATACAGAATAATTAATTGAAATAGCAATGACATAATCATATATGTCGGGGGAGATACTGAAGGAACGTTTTTAAAAAGTGTGACGTCAGCATTGCTGCAGCATTGCTGACGTCACGGTTATTGCTTTGTTGACGATAACTGATGTTTGGGCTTCCGAAACAAAACTTCACCAGAACTTCACAATAACTGCGTATATTTCACGAGAAGCGTGACAACATTCAGAGAGATCCGTACTGTACTACGGCTTATATAATAAAAATATAATCTTTCATAACTGTAAATTTTTATATTTCAAAGTTGATTATTTTAATCATGTTTGAAAGTTGTGCAAGGGAGTGTAACCTCACATAATATTTAGAGATCAGACTCATAGGCACCCCAGTATGAAGTCCTGAGTTGTTTGGTCAAAGCTTAACTAGCCTGTTCCGCCCCTTGGACTGTTCTGGTTTGCTAAGGGACTGCTTTATGAAAGAAATGGATAGCAAGGCAACACCTATCTGTGTCTACACACAATATACCCTATAATCAATGTGTTTGCTAACTGCACTAAGCTGGTATTGACCGTATGCTGGTAACATTAAAAAAATGCAGCTGATAATTCTCTGGATAATCCCATGAGCACTTGCACAAGCACACCCTCAATCACCTATAGCATGATATGAATTAATGCTATTCCAGATTGTCACCACACAGACAAAATTAATCTGTTGGAACAATTTTTATATTACAGGTTTGTTGAAAGGAAGATATTATGACAGTCAAGGAAGAGAAACTCCTTATTTAGAGAACTTTAATAGAAAAATAGAACAATGTAAAGAAGAAAAAGAAATAGCCAAGAAAAAAAACCAGGAATATCCACCATGCAATATTGCTTGGAGTGAAGAAGAGGGTACCAAAGTATGGTGTACTAAAAATAGGTAATTATGAATTACAATCTTGCTATGATGAGTGGTACTTGGATTGTTCCTAAAACCTAGTGTGTGTGTGATACAATTGTGGTGCTTAATATGATAAATAATTTTGAATCATAAGAGGGAACCATAATATGCATTACCAAAGTACATACATAGTTTTATCTGAAGCACTATCTAACTTGTAAAAAAAAAATTTTTTTCTTATTATTGCACTAAAATATTTTAGTGGTGGGATAGCACGATCTTGGATTGGAGTTCCTCGTCAAATGTACTCTCCTGGTGAAGATACTCCATCTTGTGTGTGTGTCAATACCGAGAAACACCATACAGCACTTCTTAAAGAATACAGTAACTGTGTAAATACATCAACTGTTTGTATGACTAATATTTAACTCATTTATTTATTACAATAGTGTTATAGAAAAAGTTCAAATTTTCCTACTAATGTAAACATACCAAATTTCCCAACCATAGAGCTAAGAAACAATTTTTATAGAGCAATATTTATTTATTGTTATATAATAATAATAATATAATGAATGAAAATATCAGGTACATAATAACTAAATTATACCTGAACTTTGATAATTAACAGAATAAAAAATTGTGACAAGAACAGTGAGTGTTGTCTAATAAAGTATTTAAAGTGTAACATAAAAGACATGTCAAAACTAATCTTGTTACATGGATCTGCAGTTTCCATTAGTGTTACAATTTATTGTTACAATTATTTAGTGTTACAATAATTAGTATTCAAATTATTTTGTGTTTGTCTTGTATTTTATAGTTCATAAATAAATAAATCTAAATAAATAAAAACTCAATTTTTTTGTCCTGTGTGCGATCCTAAATCATTCAACAATTTTTATGAAACAATATATTTTATGTAGTTATTTTTGGCACTAATCACGTAGGCGGCACGTGATTAGTTTCAAGAAATCATTGTATTTTCATACAATTTACGATAGTCACATAAGTAAATGGCCGAAATAGCAAAACATGACCAAATCAATCAATCAACAATAATAACTTATTTCGCATCGTGTTCGTTTTCTTTCCATTACCGGCAAGCGAGCACACCGTCGACATGAAATTTGGCCAGGAATTTGGTCTTTGTAATACAGTAATATTTACCAAATTATGCAGATATAGAAACAATTGCAATATCCATTTAAATATATTCACTAAAACATGATTTTAATGGATTTTAATTTGAGTTCCCCGTCAGATTTACTCTCCTAGTGAAGACACACCGTCTTATGTGTGTGTCAATGTTCTGAGTTTCCCTGCGATATCGACATCGTGTTCACATATCCCGAAGGATTGGTTGAAGTGGCAGTGAGCAGGGCATATGCATATGACGGCTGGCGCCAAAAACTTCTCTACTGGCGACCGCGTACCGGAAGAAAAAGTTTTTTTGTCAGGAGCAAAACACCAAACTTCCGCCTACGCGTTGGAAACGATAAGCACGGCATGTGGGAGTTGATGCATATTCAGCAGCTCAACAACCCGCGCCCGTACCTCGAATCGAATTCATCCAAGACAGTTTGGGGCAACGTGATATTTCTCGCGGAGCGTATATTAGATCCTCGCCACACTGCTCGTCCTTTCTTTCGGTCGGCGGGCTCTCTAAAGCCCACATAGATAGGGTGCCGCCAACTCGTACTTCCGAAATACTTCGCTGATCCTAAACAGCATAGGTTTGGTAAGTTTTTTTTTTTATTGCTTAGGTGGGTGGACGAGCTCACAGCCCACCTGGTGTTAAGTGGTTACTGGAGCCCATAGACATCCACAACGTAAATGCGCCACCCACCTTGAGATATAAGTTCTAAGGTCTCAAGTATAGTTACAACGGCTGCCCTGCCCTTCAAACCGAAACGCATTACTGCTTCACGGCAGTAAACCAGTCCTACCACCAGTAAAAAGTAAAAATTAATAAAAATTTGTATGAAGCACAACTTATCCTATTTACCAATTTCCACAAGAAACAGGTCTCTCTCACGGTAAAACGTGAAATTACAGTCGATAGTCGTCGTGGCCTAAAGGATAAGACGCAACAATGACTGGCTACAGACTGTAGAATGAAACCTTGAGGTTTTGAACACCCTGCACACTACCTGCAAAACTTGCATGATGGCTGACAAGACAATCACTTGGTACTTCAGTGTGCAGTAGTGGTAATACTTGTTGGGGCTTAAATCATTATCATTATTGTTATCTCTATTACAATATAAAAGAAGAAATAATATGTTGTCTCATTATATTTGCGTGATTATCATATATTATTGTTTTTCACATATTACTACTTTTCAATCAGATCTTAGATAATCATCGGGGTGATGTTCAAAGTAATATTTCCAGTACAAAATGTAATGCTACACTTATCCTTCTGATTGTGAGTGGTCACCATCACTCATGGATTTTAGCAATGGCAGGGGCACAGCAAAACCACTGCCTGCATTTCTCATTCGCATTTCTTTGTGAATGCCTGTTGTGAATATCTTAAATATTGTTATTGAAAACAATGTTTAATGTTGTTTAATATTTGTTTTGTGCAATGTTTAAACAATAATTTTACTAACACCATGAATCTCTTCTTTTACACATTAAAATTATAAGATTCAGAACTTGCAATTTAATTATTATTTTTTTACAAATAATCTAATTATGTTTCTTTATACATAATAAAAGGTGGGTTCTGAATTATTAAAGTTATGTACAATTTAAATTAATTGTATTGTAGTCATAATTGATTATTTAATACAAATACCACAGGTACAAAACACATTTTATCATATATTACTTGTACTTGGTGAGACAGATTCTGTTTGTATCTCATCTAATTCTAAGCATTCTATTGTTTTCAAAAATACTGTCATGGGTATTTTTTTCCTGTTCAAATATGATTTATTACCAAGTAATTTCTTTATTTTAGCTCTCCTTTTCTTTATTTTCTCTTTAGTGTATTGATTACCTAATTGGAATGTGAGCAGTCTTTTTACTTTACGTGCACCAATCACAGCTTCTGTATCACTGCTTTCAGCTTTGGGTTCTTCATATATAGTCTCTAATGTTTGAGAAAGAGATTTAACAGTTTTGTTGAGATACAATGCCTCTATTTGCTTTGGGTTCGCATTTTCGGCGACAACGTGTTTACGAGGTTTCATATTCACTCGGCGGTTTGAAGGTTTGCTTTTTTCTGGCATTAACGACTTTCTTTTACGCAAAACTCTTNCTGTATCACTGCTTTCAGCTTTGGGTTCTTCATATATAGTCTCTAATGTTTGAGAAAGAGATTTAACAGTTTTGTTGAGATACAATGCCTCTATTTGCTTTGGGTTCGCATTTTCGGCGACAACGTGTTTACGAGGTTTCATATTCACTCGGCGGTTTGAAGGTTTGCTTTTTTCTGGCATTAACGACTTTCTTTTACGCAAAACTCTTGGTGATAATTCAAGAACAGGTGTGTTAATTTTAGGAACATCTGTGTTCAGCTCGTCCACTTCCATTATATCTAAATGTGCCATTTTAGTTGGTAACTCGCACTCCACTCTGAAATTGGTATTTATTTTAAGTTAAATATTGATTTTTACAACAGTTACATTTTAAATAAACGGACTGCCTTTAATTTACCTCGAGTGTTCCATGTTTTTTCAGCGTCATATATCAATTTAATTCTTCATTATGGTTCCACGATCGCTCGCAAAAGGCGTAAATTTCTACTGCTTTATTTATTCAGAAAATTAATTAATTCAGAAACGCAAAGTAAGACAGAAGGGAGGCGCGTACCGTATAGCTGCAGCAAAACCCAGCAGAACCATTCGTTGCACCATAGATTTTTGTTTTTACTTTGTTTGTTGATTTTTGGAACTGTTCAAGCAAAGAAACCTGAGCCCATACAGTATTAATGATATAACGTTTTTTCCGATCTTTGTGACTTTTAACCAATATTTACGGTTATGAAGTAACATTATTACCTATACTTGAAGAAAATTTAAAGCAAGAAAAAATATAGCATCACACTTCCCCGTCATAAAATACCACACTCCAGCATTAAAAGAACTGTAACAATATTCACAAAACTCTATCCAATAATTTATTTCACTATTGATCTCTAGGTAGGTACCGAATCGAGCTAGTGATGTCTCAACGTGCTACAAATATTACTTGCAATATCATATTTCGTATAACCCTAAACTTCATTGAGACGTAAGCATAACTGTATTCAATATACTTGTATTTATTTTATAAAACAAACACATGATTTTATTCAATATATTAAATTAAAATATTTATGCAAAGCACTGTGATTATTATTATTATATAATATAATAATATATAAATTAAGGTTAAAGATTAGGCTTTATGGTATAATATCTTTGCGTTTCCTGTTAGAAAAACTAAACTACTACTGTCATATTTAATTTGGCAAGTTTTTGAAAATTCCAATTTTGTTTTGATAATTATTACGGCACTGGTTTAGAGATAAACACGTACTTCTTACGCTTTAAAAATTACATAAATTGTAAAAAAATCATATAGGAAAAACAATTCCACTCTATAAAAATATATTATGCTTTTGATTTACATTATATAACCTAAGATTGAACTGCTGTCTTAACTAAATAAAAATATTAAAATGACAGACAATAATAGGAGAAATGAAAAAAATGAATCGGAAATCCATAAAGAGTCTATTAATACATCCAATACTACAGAAAGTCAATTAGAGGATAAGTGGATGGTGATTAATTTTTATTTGAAAAACCCTAAACAAGAACCCCTGAAACCCCTGAAAAATTTAGTGATACCGTATTATCCTGTAATTAAATTGTAATAATTAGTACAATGCGACGACATTCTGCAATTTTATCCAATATCAACAATTCTGAGTATTCTGAACATTCGTTTTAGTTGGTCAGGCCTGTATTATTATTCTATTTGAAGCTACTATTGGCAGCTAATTTAGTCCTAAATAAACAATCTTGCAATCATTCTTGTACTCAATAAATTTTAAGTCAATCTTATAATAATTAGGTTGAAATTTCCATTTTGTTTCCATTTTGTGATTAGGGATTGCAATTAGTTCAAATGCTACCCCTCGGTGTATATACCTCTCTGGATAATGATACTAAGATATAAATATAAAAATTATTATATTTTACAATATCTACCACACTCACATACCATATCCCTTAAAAAGTTAATGAAAATAATAATTAAAAAGAAACTTTACTGTTTTTCCTGCTGTACTCAAAATTTTAATGTTTCAGATAAGGAATTGTGACATATATGAAGATGAATATGACGAATGCACAAGTTTCAGAGCTAGATTCCATCAGTACTTCATATTTGGTGAGACATTAGATTGTAACCAATGGAAAAAAGATTATGATAATTGTTGTAAATGGGAATCGAAAAAAGATGTTAAAGCTGCTGTAAGTGCAATAAGTGCAATTTTATATAAAAAATCAATTTACAGAATATACAACTTTTATATTTAAACAATAAGATAGATAGGTAGATAGATAAAATAAAAATTACTAGAAACATAAAACATTTACATGTTCAATCTTCTAAGCAATCATATTAGAACGAAAAACGAATAAGTAAATTAGCCTTTATATATTATATAGGAGTTTCAGTTTTGTTACTAAAAACATGTGTATATTTGATTCACACCAAAATTATGATGGTTAAGGTACCATCTGCATGCCGATGCAGTGTTAAAGCCCTCCATGCATTCTACCACCAGAGACTAAACTAAAGAACTTTCACCATGTATGATGCTTTGTATACTCAGTCTAATAACTATTTTCTGCTTAAATACAGAGACAGGTATAAATTTTATTGTGTTCACTGATGTCTTCCACTTAGCAACAAGTTCTTTATTCCATCATAAGTAGTGTTATTTTATTAATCATCTCAATTTTTATCAATTCCTTATCTCAATTGTTTTAACCCCTAATTTTGTTACTAGATTTCATTGGTTTTGAAAGTCTACCCTTGGAAATGGCTACTATAATATAAAGCCCTAATCATTAAACAATTGTGAACATTAACCTGATGGATAGTGGTTACTGATGTAGACTAGAGTAGTCATTCTGCTGCTTAGACTCATTTTTGCTGTATAGATTTTCTTATTAAAATTGAAGACATTTTTTTTACATTTATAGGAAGTTGACAGAGGTTATGGTTGCTTGAAGGACGTGGCACCTGGTGTACCAAGGTGTACATATCAAGTACCACTTAGCCAAAAAAATACGTACATACCATATGTTCAGAAATGACTTCCACAATGAAAACTGTGGTTGAGCTATTTATTCATTCATGTCTATGGGCTCTGGTAACCAGTTTTACTTAAATTAACAACCCAGCTGAAAATTATAATACAGTCAGTATTTAGTGTAGTAAATATAAAAAAGAACACGAGGCACAGCCAAAGCTGCTGCCTACTTCTGCGGACGTTTCTGCACGTAACTTCGTCTGCCAAAAAACATGTCATGTCATGTAAATATCATGATACTGGCTGAACGGCGCAGTTCCTGTACGATGGTGAAGGTGACGGATCATCACCAAATAATTACCACTCAAATACCGATCACCAATCAAATAATTAATGATCCTTTGACACGACTCTGTGAGACTAAATTGAAATAAATATGTTGTCATTTTTTTATCACATAACTCTGATTACAGTTTGTTTACAGGAAGCACTTATAAATAGCGAAAAAACAAGACGACTAGAAAGATTAAAAGGACACTACAACAACAGCATATGGAAGAAACGCAGTGCACCACCAGCTAACTGGGATAAGCCATTACCAGAATGGATGTCAAAAAGAGATGAGAACACATACCTTGCGTTAAAAGCTAAAGAATTCAGAGAAGGAAACGTGAAAGAAGAAAAAAGTTTTTGTAGCATTATGTGACAAATGATATAGTTCATGTGTTAGAATTAATAAGTAGTTAAATTAATTTATTAGTAATTATAGTTACCAGTTACTACTTAAAATTAAAGTATACTTATTTTATAAAATACATAAAATAACTTATTAAATTTTTGATCAGATTGGTACATATGTGGAGAATGACCCATTCACCAGTGTCCTTAAGCCCACTGAGTTTCTCGCCGGATCTTCTCAGTGGGTCGCGTTTCCGATCCGGTGGTAGANGTAGTTAAATTAATTTATTAGTAATTATAGTTACCAGTTACTACTTAAAATTAAAGTATACTTATTTTATAAAATACATAAAATAACTTATTAAATTTTTGATCAGATTGGTACATATGTGGAGAATGACCCATTCACCAGTGTCCTTAAGCCCACTGAGTTTCTCGCCGGATCTTCTCAGTGGGTCGCGTTTCCGATCCGGTGGTAGATTCTGCGAAGTACTGTTCTTGCTAGAGCCAGTGTTAGCAACACACCCGGTTTGAGCCCCGTGAGCTCACCTACACGACAAGAAGAAGCTGAAATAGCCTCTCAAGGCTATAAGCATTGGCAGGAAAAAAACTGTCCTCACTGAAGAATGTGTAATGGTATCTATCATTGATTGACAGCTCTGCACCACGTGGACTACTCGTTCGTAAATTTTTAACAGACACCTCCGATCACCCTCTCCGGCCAAGGCTACTGGGTGTTACCCAGTTGTTACCTGGATGCATCCATGACATTCCGTCCAAACATAATATTAGACTGCGACCGTGCCGCGCTTACTCTCGGTATGCTCTACCCCATGATCTGTAAGCGGAGTAAAATGTCCCTTCGGAACAAGGTGGCACTTTACGAAACTTGCATAAGGCCCGTCATGACTTACACGAGTGTAGTGTTCGCTGACGCGGCCCCCACACACATAGACATCCTCCAATCCTCCTACATGACGACCTGGGCCTCGAATCGATCCGCAGACACATGAAGTTCGCGTCGGAACGTTACTTCGATAAGGCTATGCGTCATGATAATAGCCTTATTGTTGCCGCCGCTGACTAGGTACCTGTTCCCTGAATCCTGATCACGCAGAAGCCAGTCACCGTTGTCGCCTTAGACACGTCCTTACGGATCCATCAGATCCATTAACTCTTGCATTAGACGCCTTTAGCTCTAACACTAGGAGAAGGCTTAGGGCGGTTACCGAGAACCGTACTCGTCGAACTCGACAAAGAGTTTGACGTGCAACGTAACCCATGCATCAGCCCGTTGAGTTGCTCGCCGGATCTTCTCAGCAGGTCACCCGTCTGCCCTAGTGAAAGTTGAAAGGCTTCCAGGACACCAATAATCCTTCAATCATAAAAAAATTGAACAGCACAAACCCATGAAAAGTAATTTTGAGACACCACCATACTTGGACCAGGACCTCTTGTGAGTTTACTGGTGGTAGGACCTCTTGTGAGTCCGCGCGGATGGGTACCACCACCCTGCCTATTTCTGCAGTGAAGCAGTAATGCGTTTCGGTTTGAAGGGTGGGACAGCCGCTGTAACTATACTTGAGACCTTAGAACTTATATCTCAAGGTGGGTGGCGCATTCACGTTGTGGATGTCAATGGGCTCCAGTAACCACTCAACACCAGGTGGGCTGTGAGCTCGTCCACCCATTTAAGCAATAAAAAAATATATTGGTTCGTCCAAGCGCATTGTGCTAAGAGCTCCGCTTTTATAAAATGAGGGAGGTCCGACGATCGCTAGCTTTTAGACTATAAAGTAATCAACATTGTGAATATACTGAAAATTCTATGCTAAAATAAAAACAATAAATATACAGCAGTACTAAAAATCTTAGCAAGATTATTGAAAAAAAAAACATATTTTTAATTAATCGAAGAAATTAAATAATAATATGTATAACTTATTAAATAATAATATTAAACCATATACAAATCGGTATGCTATCACCGTCCTGACCCAGCAACCAACTTTAGCTACTTATCGGTAAGATAAGACGCGAGTACCACGTTTAATTGTTCACAAATAAGATAAAACTGTATGTTTGCTTCGAACGACAGTATTTTATTGTAGACCTTAGCTTTAAATGCACCGATGAGTTTGTTGTGTAGAGCTGTGTTATCGCTTCGCTATATTAGAGTACCAATGGCTCGCAACGCATCAACAGCTTTCCTCATAGAGGACCCGAAGTACTCGTTTTTAAAGGATTTAGGTTTAAAAGAAAACAATGTTGGAGTTTTCAACGGAAAATGGAAAGCAAACGGCGAGGTATGTTGAACAGGCGTTTTTGGCGCCAATTAGGTATCATACAAAGTACATAAACATAGAGTTATACTCTCTATTACATACGAGAAAGTCACCCACTTACTCATTTTAAATTTTAAATAATTTAGTAAGTAGTTAATGTACTAAATAGAGCTGATGAAATATTTTATGTCACGTTATCAGTCGATCAATTGTAATAGGGGAGCGGGGGGTAGCCCCGGCCGGCGGGTAGCCTCGGCCACCGCAAATACTAGTGACTCTCGTTGTGTTACCTATAAGTACGTGTTATGTCTGTGTGCGTTTACTATCCATTCGAAAAATACTGACAGTTGGAAGTCACCCGACCACGGTGCTCGGACATAAATTGAGTATTTTGTTTTTGGCGGACTGGTTGCGCGGGATACCAATTGTTTCGGAGGCTATTTTTATTGGATAAACGTAGGTTATTATTTAGATTATATTTTTTTACATATTTCAATACATTTCTATTTCATATATTTAAGTTTATCTGAATGTGTAATAATATGCTTTTTAATAAGAATTTTTTGTTTGATGAAAGTTGTGTCGGGTAACCCCGGCCATCGATTTTGGGGGTACCCCCGGCCATAGGAGCTGACGCTATTATTTCTCATATGTTTAAATCTAGCACCCAATATTAATATGTTGCAGTGGTACAATGCCCAAATTTAGGAATAGAACTACAAATCGCGGAGACTGGAGTAAAGAGAATATGAAAAAAGCAATTCAAGCTGTCCTTGACAAAAAATATTCTGAAAGAGCAGCCGCAGACCGATACGAAGTCCCACGTACTTCTTTGCAAGATCGTATTAAAGGTATAAAACAAGGTTATCAGGTCAGTCTTAAACCAAAATTAGGACGCTTTGAACAAACATTCAAACCTGAGTTTGAAAGACAACTCTGTGAGCATGTTATAAATCTAGATAACCGTCTTATGCCTTTAACAAGAAGTGAGTTTTTGCGCCTTGCCTTTGATTTAGCAGAAAAACTTCAAATTCCTCACAGGTTTAACAAGGACAAACGAATGGCAGGAAAAGATTTTTTCTGCGAATTTAAGAAAAGAAATCCAGATGTGGCATTAAGAACTCCTGAGGCAACTAGCTTGATGCGTTCTACCAAAGGTGCGGTAAAGACACCAAAGGTGCGGTAAAGGTCAAGAGAAACATAAAAACGGGAGTAAAAGTTAAGAAGGTTGCATCTCAGCCAGATTCGTCACATCAGGAGACGGAATGCATTATTTGCGGTGAAACATTCGATGAGGATTGGATCCAATGCAAAATTGCAAAATATGTGAGGACTGGGCTCACGAAGCTTGTGTAGATTTAAATCTATCTCATTTATACAATTACTGTGATGTGTGTGTTGCCAAAAAACGCATTAATCTTTAAATACCTGGGTGGCCGGAGCTACCCGCCATCTTTAAGGGATACCAAAATTTGATTACTTTTTCAAGTGGCTTTAATTACAGAGGGATTATGTTGTTGTCTGAGTTTTCGATATTTATGTTAAATAAATATAATGTTGATTATTTTTAATAGTTTTTTTATTATTTTACTTAATAAATATAGTCATAATATCGAAAACAAAAAAATGGCCGGGGCTATCCCCCTCTCCCCTACGTGATTGGTTGAAACCGCACCAGTTGCACCACACATCTTTGGCTTTATTTAGATACCTATAGGTAGGCGGAAGTGTTAAAGTTCAAGTTTATTTAGAATCGGTATTGAGCAGCATAACATGAGAATCCTCTCATCGTGGCCGCCGGAAACTACATAGCCGATCCTGCGGACCAAGTGGTAAACAGTCGACGTCGCCCAAAACACGTCATTTCAGATCCTCCCAATCCAAACCAATCCTCTCGTGATGTTAACTTGACACTGCCTAAAGAATTCTGAAGAGACCGAAACAGGTGGAAATCTGAAGATGCAAGGTCAGGACTATACGGCGGATGTATTAACACCTCCCAGCCAAGCTCTCTTAATTTTTTCTGAGTGGCTAAAGATGTGTGAGGTCTAACATTATCATGATGAAAAACCACACTCTTTCTGTTGATTAATTCCGGCCGCTTTCTCTCAACTTCTTGCTTTAATCTCATCAGTTGTTCGCAGTAGAGTTCAGAATGGACGGTCCTGCCTGGTGGTAACAGCTCATAATGAATAATGCCCTTCCAATCCCACGACACACACAGCATCACCTTGTTGCGAGTTAACCCGGGTTTTGCCACAGTCTGTGAAGCCTGACCGGCCTTTGACCACCACAAAACCAGACAGTTGCAAAAAAAAGATGGAAAGCTTAAACAATAAGCAATTTAGAATTCTGTTGCTGTCGGACGTTTGTACATAATTAGTTCTTAAGAGATGTTCACTTAAGCACATTTTTTTGTTTCAAATCAAATCAAATCAAATCATTAATACCGTAGTAGTAGTAAATCGTTAATTTACTCCTCGAGCCCATCGCGGCATCGTCGCAAGCGACGAGTTCGACGAGGACGATGACCGGTGCTTGAGGTACCTAAAAGCACCGTTAGTGGATCGGGAGGATCCGAAATGACGTGTTTGGGGCGACGTAGACTCTTTTCCATTCTGTCCGCAGGATCGGGAATGCCACACAGAGTGTAGCATTCGTAGTACGTGTAATGACAAATAACAGTATGTAATTCAGTTAAACAAATATAGGTATGTTCTTATCTCTTCAACTAACAAATTTATTTTGAGATGTTTGTAAATAAAATAAAGACAGGTACGTTGTAATTACATTGCATTTAATTTAATCTACTTTTACGGTTTTCGTGGTCAAGTATTCGAAACGACGGTAGTATTAAATAGTGACAATAAAAAATGCTATTTAGTATAAACCGAAGACAATTCGCGAGAGCCAAAGAAAACTAAATTTTTTTTTTAACCTCACAGGTAATTAAGTCCTATAGTCCGGCAAATGGCAAAGTGATAGCAGAAGTGCAAGCGGGCAGCGCAGCCGATTATGAGGCGTGCGCCAGTGCGGCACAGGAAGCGTGGCATGCGTGGGCGGAACTGCCCGCGCCTGCAAGAGGCGAGGTCGTTAGACAAATCGGAGATGCTCTAAGGGAAAACCTTCAGCCACTTGGAAAGCTAGTGTCATTAGAAATGGGTCAGTTGCTGTAAAAAAATATACCTATACCTAGAAGCCGTGATTTTTGAGAACGTTTATTATTTCGTTAATTCATTTCTTAAGTTTCTCATCTAATAAAATCTCTTCAAGGTAAAATCCTGCCAGAAGCTATCGGCGAAGTGATCGAGTATATTCACGTGTGTGACTTAGCTTTGGGTCTGTCCCGCACACTCCCCGGTACTGTGTTCCCGTCAGAGCGTCCCGGACACGTCCTGATCGAAAAATGGAACCCGCTTGGTGTTGTTGGCATCATAACAGCCTTCAACTTTCCTGTGGCTGTTTTTGGATGGAATAGCGCTATCGCTATGGTACTAAAACAGATTATTTTACTAATGCAATAAGGATTGTAGTTACGCCATGTAAAACAAATAAAAGTCAAGTAGTGCAAGAAATTATCGAAATTTCAACGAGAATCACGGAATTTTTCCATTTACCATAACGATAATCAGTATTTTCGCTGGGTTCGCTGGGGACAAATATAGGGTAGTTTTCCTTTCAATTTCGGGAACAGTCTCCTTACACCCTGTATAAGCTAAAGAACTAGGTATGTCCTCGATCACGTATGGTAACACTGATCGAAATTCGGTCCTTTTAGCGAAGTTAAATTTTTACACATTTTAAATTTAATGCGATCATTTCAATGAGAATAATGTTTTGGTAAAATAATTTCGATAGGTTTGTGGTGACGCAACTGTTTGGAAACCATCAGAAACAACGCCGCTCGTAGCCGTGGCCGTGACTAAAATTGTAGAAAGTGTGCTGCAGAAGAACAACATACCTGGTGCCATCGCATCACTGTGCGTCGGTGGTAAAGGTATCGGAGAGAAATTGGTTAAAGACGAAAGAATGAAACTTGTTTCCTTCACGGGCAGTACCGCAGTTGGCCAACAAGTAAGTTGTGTTGTATACTTTGTAAATGGTTGCACGTGGGTGTGGTAATTAATAAAAGTTGTTCACAATTTTTATCCAAACATGTATTAAGTATATATTTATTCGTCGCAGAAAATATTTTATAGATTGGATAGGTTTTGTTCAAAAAATGAATCGACTTCCAACAACCTATGCGAGAACGACAGTTCAGTATACGCAGTGTATACAATTTCACAAATGTAAACAAAATTACGACTGCAGCTCTAGATCTAAAAATATAGGTAGGTACATTACCGCACAAATACGTTATCGTAATGGTATCGCGTCGCTATCTTGCTTACATAATCGAAAAATGACTTTTACTACAGGCCACAGGTCATAATAATATCTTCCATGATAATTTCATATTCAGATCTATTGATTATTGACAGATGGTGGCATAAATGCCCCACAGCCCCTATCTCTTCCCGTAGGTGTCGTATAAGATGATAAAGAATTTCACCGGAGAATGGGAAGTAGCTTTCTCTAAGTATCACATATAGTATATTCTCTAAGCTGAGTAAACATTTATTCGTAGAGCGTATTGTAAGTCCGCACGGGTAGGCACCACTATCCTATTTATTTATTTTTATGGTTAAGTGATTACTGGTGGACAGGTGGGCGAGCAAGGGCTCAGCTAGGAAGGGTGGGATTTGATATCAGCTTCCCGAGCGCCACAAAGGAGACCTAATTACTCAAGAGTAATACTGCGTGATCAGGATTCGGGGATGTATCTTAATTCTCCCGCTAGCAGTCCTGTGTTCCTGATTAAAAGGTGGAACAGCCTTTAAAAAATACAACTAAAAATTCTCATTATAACATGTCAACGCCAGCTAGACTAACGCCTACCGGTCACCGTCCTCGTCGAACCCATCGCTTGCGACGAAGGGCTCGACGAGCGAACTAACCCATAGACACAGCCCACTGAGTTTCTCGCCGGATCTTCTCAGTGGATCGCGGAGGTAGATTCTGCGAAGCATTGCTCTTGCTAGGGTCAGTGTTAGCAACTCTCCGGTTGAGCCCCGCGAGCTCACCTACAAACGTTAGGGTGAAGCTGAAATAGCCTCTCAAGGCTATCAGCAAAGGTATAAAAAAAAAAAAATAGACTAACGCCTCGTACACCGATATAGCCAACAACATAAACAAACGCAGTAGGTAACTAAATAATAGCAGTACTTACGTAAATTTAGGTCGGAGTGGAAGTTCAGAAACGTTTCGGGCGTCATTTATTAGAGCTGGGTGGAAACAACGCTATCATTGTTAACGAAGACGCAAACTTGGAGCTATTTTTATCCGCTGCACTTTTCGCTTGCGCTGGCACCGCTGGACAGCGTTGTACTACTACTAGAAGACTTCTAATCCACAAAAAGGTAACTATATAATAATAATAAATATTTTACTAACAATCACGCCACGTTGACTGGTCCCGTGCTAAGTTCGTTAAGAACTTGTGTTACAGGTACCAGATAACGGAAATAAATGCAAGATTTTTATTATACACACACATATATTTAATATACATCCATAACCCTGGAAAATAAATTTTATATTTATTATAAAAATATCTTCCCTTGGCGGGATTCGAACCCGCGACCCCCTTATGTAGTGACCATGTCACTTATCACTACATCAGACGGCCGTTCATCCCGAATTTGGTTCAGAATATATTTTAGTCAATACTCATATACAAACAACACAACGGATGTCGTGACAACAGAGATTACGGTTCATACATTTATTTAGAAATCCATTTCATAATAAAAATCGTAATTGTATTAATAATCTCGAATCTGTTAGCCTGATTTTGAAGCATACTTAAAAGCCCTCAACAAAATATGTCTTTAGAGTATTGAAGCCTTCAAACTCTTGTGTTCACGAATTCTCCTGGTATGTATAGAATCTGTTTTCATTTGTATTAAAGATGAGATAAATTAGTATAAAAACGATAGATACGACGTTCTTATCGCTACTGTGATATCTTAGAACTATCGGTGAAGGGAACAACGTCAGTGGAGAAAGGGCTTGTGTACATACGTATAATAACTCAACGGCGGATCCAGGGGGGGGTCATGGGGGTCATGACCCCCCCCTGAGCTAGTTCCAGGACTTGAACTAACTTGGACTAATTGAAGAACATCAAGATTTATTTATTATCTATTGTTATCAAAATTAAATTATAAGTTCTTAACTTGCCCACGACTATGTGACCCCCTCCTGGCGCCAAAGCTGGATCCGCCCTTGTAATAACTGCTTATTAAAAGGCAGATCCATACAATACACATATACAAACAGATTATTGTACACAATGTCTTCAGGCATCCAGTGATATATGAACGAACATTATAACTATACTTATAACACTATAATGTACAGTTGTATAGCGAAGTAGTAAACCGGCTGAAGAAAGCGTACGCAGGAGTGGTGAGCAGAATCGGCGACCCGCTACTAGAAGAGACCCTGATAGGGCCACTGCACACGCCCGCGGCCGTTGACGCTTACAAGAAGACCGTGGCCGAAGCTGTCAAACTTGGAGGCAAAATCGAGTTTGGTGGGAAGGTTAATAATATCTAATACATAATAACTGTTGTATTTTACTTGTAGCTCTTATAGGACATAGAACAGATAAACGAAATCGCGGCATTACATACCTAACCGACTTTACATTTCATTTAGAGGGTGTAAGCTAGCGGTTTTCTAAACCCCAAAAGGGAATATGTAAATGATAAGTCAAGTAAAACCTACGTATCATTTTAGTAAGCTAGTATTTCTAATTTATATTCGAAATCTAAAGCGCAGACAGATGGTGGACGCATCCTGTGTACATAGTGTACCAAGTAATTTATGTATCAATCCAATCCAATGTATAAACGTATTCCATGGCGTCTTCCAGCCTTCCAAGAATTTCGATTTCTTTACACACGGTATATTCAAACTGTAATTTCACTACTAAACTTCTAACAATATGGCAACGTAATATAAGATAGTTAAAATTTTTCGTTTTTAAATGGTGTGATGTTGCTCACAAGTCAGTACTAGGCTTACCGAACCCTATTGATGCCCTCGAGGAGTGAGTGCTGATTACCGCCTTATGAAACGGGGTTAGTCATTTGACTCAGAATAAGAGTCATACTACCCTTTGACCTAGAAACATTTTTACTGTGAATAAAGGGGTAATAGTGGCAGGAATATTGGCCTAGATGCTTCAATCGTATACACGCATCTTCCGTCAGTAGATTGTTGACATGTAATATCCTCTAGGCAATGTTTTATGTTAATCTCTCTTTCGCACATTGGATGAAGCCTATTCAATTGAAATTTGGTAGTGTCTTTTGGTATATGCATTTTTCTCGCGGCATCCAAAAAAAAAGAAGAAATGAGTGCATTCAATCCCATCAAACCGAGTCGCGTCAATTATTTAAGACTTGTTTTACTGTTTAATATCTTATAACGGCTGCCCCACATTCCAAGCCAAAACGTATTACTTCTTCACGGTAGATATAGGCAGAGTGGTGGTACCTACCCGTGCGGACTGACAAGAGTTCCTACCACCAGTAAAGTGGTAAACCACCAGTAAATTTGTAATATCACATTATTATATTATTAGCGAAAAGTGAAAAAAATACTAAACCTCCAATAAGTAAAGATCCTTTAACTTGTAGATAATAGAACGTGAAGGTTACTTCGTGGAGCCGACCATAATCACAGGTCTGCCACACGACTCTCCCATTGTGAAGACGGAATGCTTCGCCCCCATCGTCTACTGCATCGAGATACCAGACCTTGAGACCGGCATTCAGTACAACAACGAGGTCGAACAAGGCCTCTCCTCCAGTCTATTCACGGAGAACTTGGGGGACGTTTTCAAGGTTTTTATTTACATGAAAATTTTTATTAAACTAGGTCATGTCCTCCATCGAAACATGAGGATGAAGTTTTGATTTTAGTGCAATCATTTAAATCTGAAGGTATCCTCTGCGACAGAAATACGCCTCTTGTACCGTGTACCGTGGTACCCAACGGTCAGGACCCAAAATACGTCCTACTGCCAGTATTTTATAATTACTAATAAACAGCAGTGAAAATATTGCGCATTTTCTTGTTGCTTTAGTAGGCTCTGCCCTGAGTGTCCACTGTCCAATAGAACTTGTATACTTAACAACGTGAATACCGCCGCCAACCTTGAGACAAAGGCCGAGGTTGAAGTCTCAATATTATTGAAGTAATCGTATAATATATAACCATATAATATTTACTTCATGTAAGAGCCAACTTGGCACGTTTTTTTTTTTTCCTCCCTAGTTTTAGTTTCCTTTACATTCTAGTAGCCTCGAAGGCTTATTTAAATTCACCGAACTAGTACCTAGGTGAGCTCGCGGGGCTCAAACCTCATGTTGTTGCGAACATGAACCCTAGCAAGAACAGTACTTCGCAGAATCTACCACCGGATCGGAAACGCGACCCACTGAGAAGATCCGGCGAGAAACTCAGTGGGCTGTGTCTGTAGGTTAATTTACTCGCCGAGGCCTTCGTCGCAAGAGACAGGTTCGACGAGAACGATGACCGGTTTTCGCGATGCTTAGATTCATTCGTCTGCTATCTATCTATATACCTAGTCAGGTCATAAATTCTGTCACATGTTTAATGTAAAATAATTGAAACAAGTTTATTCATTATGTAACCATTCATATACCAAAATGAACTTAACAAAACATAGATTCTTATGACACTAAAGTTTATTCAAAATGACCTCCGTGATTTTGAATACAGGCCTTCAATCTGCGCGGCCAGTCGTCTATCGNTTTTGTTAGTCCAAGCAAGAAAAAAATTAGGAAACGTTGGGCAGCCAGATATAGTGAGGGGTAGATCTCAGGGGTATTTAAAACTATGGGTTAGTCACCAATATCGAATTTCGAATTTTAATCTTCCTTTATCACAAACAATTTTCAATTTTAAACAATAAATACATTTAGACGCGGGCGCACGCTATTCACACTCAAAACGGAAGCCCGGAACATAGATTATACACTGTTAAAAAGATCGACATAGATGCTAACTATGTATAGCGAGCGGGCATACGGCCGCGAGAGTGACGTACCGGTCGGTTTGCTACAATATATATAATATGATTCATAATAGGACTTGTAATTAGTAATTACTTAGTATTAATAATTAAATAAGTAATTAATTACATTCGCGCACTTAATGATACACACATTATTTTTTTATGAGAGCGATGGGTCCGGTAGTGATATGTTATATTGAATTTGGACCAGACTCATGAATCAGAGTCCTTAAAATAGGTTTACTTGTGACACAATGGCGATGGAGAATTCACTAACTAGAAAATATAATTATAAAAAAATATATATAAATACAACTTCGTTCTTCGTGTTCCCGCCAAAAACTTGAACCACAGACTACTGAGAGCCCATACCGTATGGTAGCATAGCTTTAGAAAAGAACGTAAAAAGGTTGAGAAAATCGTTTTGACATTTGACACTCGATAGTTGTTTTGTAGAGTTGTAGCGCTTGAAAGTTTAGGTAAATACCTAGCAACTAGAGTACCAACAGAGAAAATCTTGCTTTCTCTTTTTAATTACTTAAAATACACTAGTTTGAGAGAGATGTAGTAACGAAGTAATTTTATACGTTGGCTGCATTTGAAGTTGGTATTTGCCATCGCCAAGAGCCTGCCATTTTGTAAAATAGAAGGGAGATAAAAAATAGTTTTATGGTGTTAAAATTTTACAGAAACTCTGTCGCCGTTTGTATTAAGGCCAAAAACAAATGTATAAATGGACGCATCGTCCATTATAACTCAGGTGTCACGGGATGACGAACAATTAAACAATTATGGACCCGATAGAGGTAAATCCCAACTGAATTACACCTGTTACTAACTAGCTTAGAATTAGAGCATAAAGTGTTCTCTTCAGGATTCGTAAATATTTATTGATCGTGATTTATTTATACTTCATGGAAGAATAAATGATTGGCCGAGTACATTTTGTGTTTCGCGTGAGTGTTGTTTGAAGTAAACAAATTGGAACGTGCAGTTGTGTCTACCGCAACCTTGAGTCTTTACTGAAATGCCAATTATCTATAAGTGATCGTACGACGGCTTGTGCAGTAACAAGTTCAAGTGATGATATGTGATGATCGTTTTAGGTTCATCCCCTGGTGTGCAGCATAATGAGGGTGACGGCACCCCAGTTTCGGGGTCGACCCCTTTGGGTGGGAAGAAATCTAGCGGGACCGGCGGCTTCTTGCGATCGTTGCTGTGCTGTTGGCGCGGTGGCCGAGGCAAGGGACCTCCCGGAGGCAATGGCACCAATAGTATCGACGGCAGGGCTTCTCCGCCCTTGCTGGTCATGTCTGAACATGCCCCCAGACCTCTGTTACCGCCAGTGAGACACCAGGACATGCATAAAAAGTGTATGGTTATTGATTTGGATGAAACATTAGTGCACAGCTCATTCAAGGTAAGTCAAAACTAATAACTTTTTCAGAATCTCTGTGGCAAAACAAGTTGAATTTTTCAAAATATATATACAAAATAGAATAATCACTACCAAAAAAAGGTATTAAACTGTACTTCATTATTAAAAAAAATTAAAAATCAATAACAATATCAAGGTAATACAAATTGGTCTAAACAGCGATGGCGATTTATGGAGTGTGGAAAGTCATTTGTATGAAATTAAGATTCCATCTGAATTTTAAATATGAAACCTTTGTGTAGTGCTTAGACATTTTGTTTGAAAAGCTGATACGTAAAAAATTCTGTCCAAAGGCAATAACATAAAATTAATTGTAATAACAAAATTTCTGTACTGATTATATGTTAGCGGAACATAGAAAACCAACAGGCAAATATTAAAGTTGTAGATAAAATCACTTATAGTCAAATGGATAATAACATCTCTCATCATTCGTCGATAATTTTATTGCCTGGGAAGTTAGGCAAATGTGTGTGATACTTATGTACTGAATTATATTAAAATTTTTTGCTTCTTAGTTTCATTGGTATAAGTATGTGTCTGCCCATGGCTTCATTATTATTTTGACTTTCAGAATGTTCTCTATTTATACTTTCCCACTTCTTATAACTTACCACACTAATTAAAAAAAATTATCAATCTTTTCAATCCTCAGTCCTACTATTGGTTACTATCCAAGGCTACAATTCAATATTGAGGAAGAAGTCCATACATTGTTGTGCTTATTAGGGTGTCTTAATTAAACACTCATTTAATAGTTTTCATATATGACTCACAGTGTCAGCTGTTAGACAATACCATCATAATTTATTGCGTTGCGCAATTTGGATTCGACTAGTTAAATATTAAGTTTTTCTCCCGTGTTATTCAAAGGATTGCTTTGAGTGTATTTTTTTACTTCTCATGCAAAACAATGTCTTTGACAAGATTTACATATTTATTTAGAAAAAATTGGTGAAAAAATTATATATGAATACATAAAAGTAGCATTAGTGTGTATACATAAAACTACAAAAAATGTTTTCAAAAGGTTTAAAGCTCAATGTACTAATCATAGTTTATTTAAATATAAAGAATGTTTGAAAAAAGTAATCTACTGAGTACAGCAACAACCCTTGTTCTAATACTGTTCGTAGCAATAAACTACTGTTCTACACCAAGTCCTTTCTACACTTTTATTACTGGTGGTAGGACCTCTTGTGAGTCCGCAATGGTAGGTATTATAGGTGGCCAATATAATTTTTCATTTTCTTGAAGTGCTTTTCCAATAATAGAGATTGGTTGATTGTGTATTTAATAGTAAAATTTACTATGACATTTGGTTGAAAGTGAAGTTGATTAATAGGATACTTTAGAATATCTTTATTTGATCTGCTCTACCAGCTTTAATTGAGGCATTAAGTTCTTCATATGTGGCTCTAATTTCTAAATATAATTAACATATCAAGCCAATTAGTATCTCGTAAATACGAGTATTTAAATAATAGGTTAACAATAGGTATTTTTTATTATTATTTCTCATCCAAAATATATTTTTTACCAACCTTTGTAGACTAGTTTAGGAATCATTTAAACATGAGTTGCAGTGCTTTGAGGAAGGCAATATTAAGCCAGCGGTAGGCAGCGGCTTGGCTCTGCCCCTCGCATTGCTGAAGTCCATGGGCGACGGTAACCACTCAGCATCATGTGGGCCGTATGCTCGTCTGCCTGCAAGGGTAATAAAAAAAAGCATTGCAAATTTTTTTCAAATCAAATGTTCATAGACTTCCTTGATAAGTGCCTCTCAATTGTTTTCTTCTTTTGTATTTATATAGAATGGTTTTTAATTTATATTGATGTAAGAATTTCGTATCGTAATTCTTTTATCGCTCTGTGCTAACACGATAGATAAGGTCTATCTTTTATCGTTCGTAATTCATTGGTATCGAAATAACCTTGAAAATGCAGTGGATTACCTGAAGACAATGACATGTTATGTTTTGATTTACGAACGCGAAACGTGTTGCAATTTTCATTGAAAAATGTTATGCGGACTGCGGAACGATCGTCTTTGAACTTGGAATTCTTTTGGAATAATACATGCAATTATCCGTGTGTGGTTAATCACAATAATGTACTAGCCGTAACATCGACTATAACTTTACTGTGTTCACTTTACGTAGCGTTTAAATATAAAATTGATACTTATCTATAAGTATCATGTCGATAACGCGTCTGTTACATAAGGTAATATAGATAATTTAAAAGAAAAAAAATATATCATACGTCTATAGTCTGCCCAGGACCTGGCATAACAAGAAACATTAAAATATCGAAATGTTACGAATGATAAAGAAAGTCGCGATAGTCACATAAAATTAATGGCCACAACGGATTGACCGTAAAAATAAAACATTAATAGCGCGCGAAAGCCAAAACTAGCCAATCAGTGCCTAATCGTAATTTGTCGTAGCTATAAGATCGAAATTCGCGTGATACACAATCATAAAACTGACCGTTTCTTCGGCTACCATAGTAAAAGAATGTGTCCGTAATATCGCTAAATTAGCGATTGAGATTGTGACGCGACATTGTTTTTACGAGCATACGGCTCCGCTGAAGATATGTGGTCACCATCGGTTATGGACTTGGCAATTTTAAAGATAATCAGACACATCCGCCTAATTATGAAAAAAATCTAATTAATTATTTAATCAAGCCTTTTCATCGGTTAACTACAGAGTTCTCGATTAAGCTATTTTTGGTTAAATAATAGATAACATTTTTATTGCTCTAGATAGGCAGACAAGGTCATGACCCGCCATGTATTAATTGGTTATCGGAGCCTGTAGACATCTCAGCGTGAACCCAACACTCACTTTGACACGTGACATGAAAGCTTCAATTGTTTAATATTATATTACATCATAAATAATACATTACGTACATTATCTACCGTTGAAACAGGAAAACATGTCTGTTTCCCGCTGCCGAAACTGGCAGGATTATGGTACCTACCCGTCCCGAGGTGATAATACCTCCTATCACCTATACATAAGAAGATTAAGATTAGGTGACATAGTTTTTCATATGAGGCCATCAGCGTGATGGCCAAAATGGCCTAACCCACAATTTTTCAAAATTGGTGCTTCTAAATTGCAATTTATTTGAAACAAAATAAATTTTGACGCAAAACCGGCCTATCCCTAGTTTCAGCAATAGATAACAGATGGCTTTGTAAACATTATTTTCGCGCGTATTGTTTTTGCCTACGAAGCAGTGTAAAAGTAAATTCCAACCTCGCTATCTCCATGCTAATTATGGTGAGGTTAGGCCACTTTTGCGCTGACGGCCTCATATATAATATTATATAGTTGTTACCTTTATTATTTGGCTAAATATTGTGGACCACGACAAATGTTTTCCGGTTACGGAGACCTGTGCTTTATTAACTTTTCAGTTTGGGAATTGGAGCGTGGAACGGGCGCCGCGGCGCCGGTCGAAGGGTTCTGTCTAACAATAAAACTGTAACAGTTGCGATTATAATAAAAGATTTGAAAGTTTCAATAGTTCGTGTCGTGGAATGCGTTTTTAATACGCTTTTATTAGCTTCAGACGTATGTATGTTTGTAACGGAATCTTTGAACATGATTTTGATCCCCTTCAAGACGTCGGATTAACTCGAAATTTGTTATACTTATTAAGGAACGACGACAATTTAATACTAAAAAAAAATTTTAAAAAAAAATTTGAAAAAATTGAAATTCAACTAAAAAATGAAATATACATAATAGTTCAAAAAAACTAACAAAATACGCTTTTATAGAAAATCCAACTAAAAAATAGAAAAAAAAATTAATAAATTTGAATTAAAAATGGTGTAAGAAAAAATGATTTTACTGTAAAAAAAAGCGTGAGGTGCATGGTATCAGTAGTTATAAATATTTTATGAACAGATATGAGTAGAAGGGTTATTTTGATGATATCCCGAAAAGCAACCCACGCTTTTTTACAATAAAATCATTTTTTCTTACACTATTTTTAATTCAAATTTATTAAAATTTATTAAGTGACAGTATACTGATTCGCGGTTTAGTGAAATTTACATTTGAAATAAAAAACAACTGTATTTGAAATGCGAGTTCACTTTTCGTGTGGTTGCTCTTAGTAGTGGGAAAACGTGTTAGCTTTATAAATATCGAATGAAAACTGTTTTCTGTGATATTAGAGGAGTAGCTATAAATGTCGCGTATGTTCCGATCGATATCTCCTGTTTAGTTCCGTTCTGAAGCGATTGTGGCCCAACTGGAGAGACGCCCGAATCGTTTCGAGTGTATAGTCTATGCCGGGTTATTTATCGACACATGTACAACTGAAACATTACACGTGTTTTCGTATTACTTTCGAAGTAATTTGAGTGGTCGTGGCCTAAAGGATAAGACGTCCGGTGCACTTGATGCAACGGTATTCGAATCCCGCAGGCGGGTACCATTTTTTCTAATGAAATACGTACTTACTGGTGGTAGGACCTCTTGTGAGACCGCGCGGGTAGGTACCACCATCCCGCCCATTTCTGCCGTGAAGCAGTAATGCGTTTCCGTTTGAAGGGTGGAGCAGCCGTTGTAACTATACTGAGACCTAACAACTTATATCTCAAGGTGGGTGGCGCATTTACGTTGTAGATGTCTATGGGCTCCAGTAACCGCTTAACACCAGGTGGACTGTGAGCTCGTCCATCCATCTAAGCAATAAAAAATAAAACTTAACAAATGTTCACGATTGACTTCCACGGTGATGGAATAACATCGTGTAATAAAAATCAAACCCGCAAAATTTAAATTTGTGTAATTACTGGTGTAAGGACCTCTTGTGAGTCCGCACGGGTAGGTACCAACCACCACCCTGCCTATTTCTGCCGTGAAGCAGTAATGCGTTTCGATTTAAAGGGTGGGGCAGCCATTATAACTATACGAAGACTTTAGAACATATCTCAAGATGCATGG